ATTGCTCTAGGATCCCTTTCATGGAATGGATAGATATAGGAACAATGTTTTTAACACAAGATAATGGATGGAACTTTAATGGCGGAACTCCAAATCATAGTGTTTGACATTCTAAGACAAATTGTGGCTTTCTGATAATTATTTAACATTAATTAATTCTATATTTTTCACCATTAGGCATCTTTTGCATCCCAGTTTTAATTTCAGTCTATCACTGCAATTAACGCTGTATGACACTTTGAGGTCGTCATCTTCTGTGTAAAGCTTGTTACCAGTTCCAACATTTTAAAAACCATTATCCTTCACACATTTATCCTTCATTCTATGTTCATCTGTTTCAGTGAACTTATTATTTTTAACTTCAATGATTATTACTTAGAAAGAAAACTAAAATTCGACAATGTAACTCCTAAACCTAGAATCATGTATGGCTCTGAAATATGGGCAATGAAAGAGAGAGAGAAGCAAAAACGACAGGCGGAACATATGAGACTTCTAAGACACCTCATGGGAATCATAAGAAGACATAGATTGAGAAATTAATACATCAGAAAGAAATTGAAACCCAAAGGTTTAGTAGAAGAGGTAGAGCAGTCTCAACAAGATGGAAAGATCATTTTCAGATAATGAACGACAGTAATTTCCAAAATCATTCTGGAAGTACAAACCAAGAGGCAATAGAGATAAAGGCAGACCACTAAAGACCAGGAACACTTGGAAAACTAATGATCATCAGCATAAACTGCAAGTTGCTAGGCCTGTCGCCTGATCCTGTTTCCCAGTAGACCAGGAGGCTTACACCCCCAGGTGTTCCTTATCTAGCATTTCTTTTGTGGACTTCCCACATCCCTTCACAGTATTGGTTTATTACTTCAACACTGCTTTTGATAATCTTTCTTGTTATATTCTCTTAATGTGAGAGAGCCATTCTCTGTCAACCCTTAATTTCTTCATCTATATTTTTAGTCTTTAACCTTTTTCTGATGTCTTTATTCCTTTGCCTATCTTTTAGTGTCACTCTAGCAAGATGACACAGGAATCTCCTTTGCATTGCCTCAAGTCTTTGTTCCTCACTTTTCATTGTTCTGACTTACAACTCGTACATGAGGATTGGTTTACATATCATATTGTGGATTCTTAGTTTGGTCTCTTTAGTCATATCTCTTCCAAAGTGTATTTTGATTAATCCATTCGCCCTGTTGTATTTCTAAAGTTTGTTTTCCTTGTTTTCCGATCTCTGTTCAATGAGGTTGTCCAAATAGGTGAATTAAGCTATTTGTTCTATATTTTCTCATTTATGACAATTTTTACTCTCCTCATTTCTTTTCCTTGATATGCCATTGTTTTGTCTTGTTTGTGGAAATTGAAAGACTAATAATATACCACGAATACTGTAATAAACCAATAGAAACATGTTGAAAAGCCTAATTTTTCATCAGGTCATAATGTGATTAATTTCAATGATATCAACAATGTTGAAACTTATTTATACTTTACTTTCTATTTCATTTTTTAACTTATTTTTCAATGTCAATCCACAGCTTGTATGATGCCAGAAGTCCATTTCCATAGCTAGTTTATTTTCAGTACTTTTACATTTCCCAAACATTAGTCACACATGCGACATTATTCTTTATATAATTTTTGCTCAACACATTTTCTAAGGGTTTTATTCCATAAAAAAAGCATTTACCTTACATCATCTTTTCCTTTCGTTATTCTTCTCTGAATGTCTTGTGAACTACCATCAATTGCTATTATTTCTATACCAAGATGTGCAATATTCTCACAGGATTGCACTTCTAATCTATCAACTATACACAGTCTTGGATTTTGCTTCTCTAGCCTTGTAGCTTATTCTACTTCATTAACATTTATTAAGTACCAACTCAAATATTCTTCACAAAGCTATCACAGCATATAAAAAACATTTTCCTTCTCTGCAAAGAGAACTTGGACTAATAATTAAGAATATAGAGCATGGAATAGACTATTTATTACCCATATTGTAATATAATCTCTCCTAATTTTTTAAATCTTCTTGTAAATATAATTTAAAGAGAGTTGGAGCAATGAAACACTCTTTCCATACACTTTATTTTCAAGACATGTTTTCGAAGAGTTTCTTCCAATTTTAATTTGACTTAAATTTCTGCCACATTTAACAGCATTTAGTAAGTACATGTAAATGCCTTGATTCTCCATGGTATTTAGAGTTTATTTAATGAGACAGTGCAACAGGTTTTTCTCAAATTTGTAAAGAGAGGTTAGTTACTCAATTATGAAGATGTTGTTTGTTGGACACCTTCCTGATTCTAAAAATATTATCGTTATATGAGCTTACAGCACTAAAGCCACTCCGATCTTTTATATCTTCAAATTCTCTTTCCAGATGAACTTTCAAATTATTTCTGTACGCCTATTCACATCAACTGAGCAGTCATAGCTCTGTAGCTTCCGTTGTTTTCTCTCAATAATTTTGATTTTATTAGAAATATATAGTGTCTCTCCCCTTTTACATCTATTGTTAACATGACAGGAAATTTTGAGAAGTACATTAGGACAATTTTAACAGTATTTGCTTTCTCTTTAAGGTTTCTTTTCTAAGAATTATAACAACTTATATCATTTTTTATTACATTTTGCTTCTTCAAGTCTCTCGTAAGCAGCTCTATAATTAGCTCCTTCCCTCGAGGAGAAATTGGGTGGTTGAAAAATCCATTTTAAATAGCTTTTCACCGAGTGGGTTTCCATAGAAATTTAATTGAGATGGTCAGATGTAGCTTATATACAGTGATTTGAAGCACTAATTTGATGCTTCCTGAGTATACTAACTTTGTTGGGTCTTATTAACAAATAGTAAGATTCAACTTTTACCTCAATAAATAATTATCTAAATTGCATTCATGTCTTCCACATTTGCTTTGTTATTATGTTTCCAGAGAACATAATCTATTATTTCCAATTTGTTACTGAAAACTCTCTTTACTCTAGTTACTCAGTTAACATCACTAAATAAATGAATGTTATCTTTAACTTCCTCTATCCCTTGACCTTTTGCAACCCTGAAATTTTAAGAGTAGTAGAGGTGCTCTGCTAGCCCTACACTCTAACCCCAACCTGGAGGACTAGATTTGGGGTTACCTTTGGATTTCTTCTTTGGGTTACTTTCTCCTTACAGGCTGACTGGCTTCCCTTCTAACCCTACTCCAAGAAAAGGAAGGTATAAATTAGGGAACAGGTAGGAAAGACCAATTCTGGTAGGGAAACTCGTCTGGTGGCCTCATAGGGGGCATTGACTTGCACTTTCAGAGTAACCCTTCATTAACAACAGCCAACAGTGGGAGTAATCCTCCATTAATGAACATTGTCGCGTATCTGTCACAGTCAGTTGTCAAGAGGACCACCATGTAGCATCTCTGCATATGCATCTCCTACCACACGCTTCTGCACCACTACCCAGCGGCTAAAATTGAGAAGGAATTAGGATAGGGGTAGGGTTTAGGATATTTCAGAGGGCTTGGACTAACCCTTGTGAAGCAACCAAACTCATTTTGTTGGAATAAAGTTGAGTTTGTCCGGGATACAATGGGAATTGAACCTGGGCCTCCTTGGTGATAGGCAAGCAAATTTGCTCTGAGCCAGAAGATGACCTGCTTAAGTATTCCACATTGTTGATCACTATCTTCTTTTAGACAGGAAAAGGAATGAATTCTCTGAATAATGTATTTCTGTTCTGTCCCACCACTCAGGTCTGCACTGGCTCAAGATATTTGCTATGATCATCATTCCAATAGATAGCTTTAAATAGACTCATTATTGTTTACACACTACTACTTACACTGATGTCAAACTTCTAGTAATGATGTTCAAATACTTAATTCTAATTGAATCTATCAAAATAAATCTAATGATATGAATCAAAATGCAAATAATTGAAAATTTTATAGCATTTCCCACATTTAATTTTTATTCCTTTTTTTTCTAGATATTTGCAAAAAACTTGCAAGTGCAACTTAAACTTCATTTGAGTGGTAGGAAAGGGAGATGGGGTAGTTTTTACAAAATCTCAGGTAAAAAGTAACTTTTCTTTTGTTTTACAGGCCAGGTGTACAAAATGTCATTAACATCAAAATAAAACTGTCATTCATCTTTACATAACAGAAAATAATTATTTCATTTGAAAGGCCTATGATACCTACATATTTGAAAACAACTTGTCTAAGTTATGCCCCTTTTAACCCTTCACTAAAATATTCTACCTTCCAGCGAAAACCATAAGTTAAGCCTTTGTAGAGATTACCCTGAACAATCACACTGATAAAAATGATAAGAATAATTGATTTTTATATCATCAAAATAAGCACGTATTATATATAACGGCTATTATTTTGAAAGCACAGACACTTCAATTTCATACATATCGATAATCATGAGACATTTTAGTTTATGATTGGCAAAAAGAAATCATGACAAAATTTGTCAATCATGATTTAAACTTATTCAAAAGGAAATGTATCAAACAAAATAAGATGCACGTTTTACTATATATAAAAAACAAACAGGTGAAAACAATTTACTTTATTACACAAAACAGCATCAAGCAAACAAACATTACATTATTTTTTTGAACACTATCCAGTGAGACCAGCCCAAATATATTTAAAAGTAACACATATATCATATATTGAAATTTAAGGAACTTGTTTAAACACTAAATCATATTCATTATTGCTAAAATTTTAACCTCAAAAAAGCTATTGGTTGTGCTATGTATGGCAGTGGTTCTGGACCTACTACTGAGCAAATATTGCATAATAGACCACTAAATCTAACAGTAAAAGTTTTAAAAATAATTTTTAAATATGTTCAATATTCATTGTGCACCCGTTTAAAAATACAAACTGCTATTCCTCTAACGTAAATTCTTCATTATCTGCCAGTGTCTCAAACTTACGCACTTATGTTATATCTGTTGCACTACATTATAACAACATTTGGTAATTTTATATATTGAGCCAGTATGCACATGACAAAAGTATTTTTTTGTTTGTTTGTTTTGTTTTGTTACAATACTTCCACCTTAAGTTTGAATGATAGACATACTCAGAAAATTATCATGTAGAATTAATAACTGGTTAATTTGTAAAATACTTGTAATTTTCATAATACTTTCCATCAAACCGTTATGCAGATAATCAAGAATTCACAGCTTTCCCAAAAGGGTTGAACCATGATTCCTTTTCAATAGTAACTGATGTTTGTTATTTCAGCCAGTGAAAATGAAACAAAGTTTGGTCTAAACATGTACTTTCAGCTACATAGTCAAAATTTTCATTCTCATCGTCACTGGAATAATTAAAAAGAATTTAAAAATTGCATCTAATATTACACTAATCTCCCCACATAAGTTAACTTTAAAAGTAATGTAGATTTTTAAAGTGGATTAATATTCTTGTATTAAATAGACATTTTTTCCAACATAGAGGAACCACTGGTTCACCCTGCTCATCCAACTAGCACAAGCCAATAAACATTTTAACAAATAACAAGTTTGCTACTCTTATTTAAAAAAAAAAATACTAATTAGACGGGAAGTTCACACAATTTAGTCTCTTATAGATATATATCATGATAAATACTTTTGTTTTAGCTTTGTCTAATAAAAGACATAATGCTGGCTAATCCAATTTTAAAAACTCAAATAATACTCCATACTAGATCCATTCTAGAACATTATGTTCTGCATTTACAAGTTATACACACATTTTTAATAAACAATTGGATCATCAGCCCAGTAGTATTGCTTCTGTTTTCTTCCCTGTATGTTTTTTGTTAAAAAAGATAAAGAAATTTATATAACAGCAGCAATTTATATAATTAAATAACAGCAGCTGGAGATATTGCAATTTAGCTTTGATTTCCAGTTTAGGGTGAACAAGATAAAATCCTTTTCCTATGCTTTCATACACAAAGTTTAATCTGCATTTTTTTTAAACTTCAGAATGAAGTATTTACTTTCAAAAAGTAATATTTTTGAGTCAATGTAAAGCTAACTATAAAAAGAACGTATATTTAAAAAAAAAAGATTAAACAGTGAAAATGCTTGGCATCTGATGCATTGATTTCATGCAATTTGAGTTCAGTAAAAGTATGAAAATATTCCATAAATTTCGTTTTGAAATAAACATTAATCAATACATATTAAGAGAAAAGTCTTTGACATATGTAGAAGCATTGTTTATATAAATATCAATGTTTCAAAGAAATACCCTCCGTCCTTGTCATATTATAACCTCCAATACAATCCAGTGTTTATGATATTTACAGTGCCTTGGCACTACAATAATTTCATGGAAATTATTTTAATATACTGTAGTGTTTGTAAAATATTGTCATATAGTGTCACTTTTGCTATGAAAATGCCAACAAAACGTAATTGCCACTTCAGTAATAAGCAAATGTATTAATACAGTCTTTAAATGTATAATTAATTTGCTATTGTGCTTCTGAAAATAAATTTTGCTTAAAATGGAGCACTTTATCATAGCTCACTTGGTGAAATGCAATTAAATTGAATTTACGTCTATTCCAAACAGTTTTTACAAGTTCTTTGGGCACATTATCAACACAGCATTACACAGCCAACACACAAATTCACTACCAAGTTGTATGGTATTGTTGAATTCCCAAATCAGATCTTACATTCATCACAAAGGCGAAATGTAGACTTTGTCATAACTTTCACAAACCTTTGAATTCCAGCAGTTAAAAATACATTCTCTTTTCATATATTAAGAACACATATTAAAGAACATTATTTAGAATAACCTCCAATTGCTCTAATGCTTAAATCTTCACAACAATGATATTAAAATTCCACAACCTGGACATTTCTGCTCTTCTCATTTCTTCCAAATCCAACTCTTGTATGCTCCTCTGTAATAACTCTTAAATGCCATTTAGAAACTAACTTCAACTAAACCACAATTATAATTATTAATGAGGCCTTATCATACTACATTCAAATATTTACAATAGGAACTTAAAACTAGAGAAATGTGATCTCTACATGACAAATATTTAGAACACAAAAGTCAAGGAACATTCATATACACATACAGCTGATTTTCTAAATGTATTCTGAAAGGTCCATTTTAATCTCTAATACTTTAATTCAGACAAATTATATCTATTATATTGAGTATACTTTAATTTTCCAGTTTCAAAGACACTCTGAATATTTAAGTATTGTTTGGGTATTTCACATGTAATTAATGTTTAGACAAGTAATCCAATACGCATTTATCAATGGTTTGTACATGTATATGTGTACAACATATTTCACTAAGGAGTTCTCTGAGTCAATGGCTGACTCATGTTTGATGGAAAAATCCTTAAAAAATGGATATAAAAATTCTCAGCATAACTGCAGCATATTAAGACCATAAAAGGTTCAGAGGCAAAATGCACCGAATGAAAAAAGTAATTAATTTACAAAGAATGTTTAATGGATCTCTCTTTATTTCTAGTAGTTCCTCTGATGAAATCACACTCCATGTACTATGTACTTTATTTACATTAGAAGAGCAAATAAACCATAAAACAACACAACATATGCTTACTTCACAGAAGTAATTTGTATTTAAGCCATAAAAAGGAATGGTCCACAAGAGGCAAATTGAAATGCCACAACTTTCTCTTGATTATAAAATCATGTAAAATGAAACGCGTACTCTGTTACATCAGGCACCTGAGAATTTTGTGATGTTCATCTAGCAGAAACTTCACTTAAGAAGTCAAAAACCTATCATGCATTCTGTTAGTCCAACAGGGGAATGCACACAGGTGAATGTTTATATACCATCTTCCATTAAGGAAGAGGTACATCGCTCTTGTTATACCATTCTCATCTTCTCATCTCATTTCACAAACCAAGACAAAAATTCAAAATACAATGCAGTGCTATGGTCACTAAGGGCACTCTAAGAGCTCCCAATGTACTATAGTTACACCACTTATAAAGAGCAGCATCAATGTAGATTACATTATTGTGCACAACGCTTCAAGACATCCAAGAAATAACAGTATCCCAGAAATCAAGTTCTCAGAAAATGTATGTTCAAAGACTGTACTTGGAATAAAAAAGGAAAAGTTTACATTATAATATGCATAAAAAAGCTGCAATTTTTAAGTGGTGACTCTAAAGTCTGATGCTACCATCACTCAGACGTGCAATTTTGCATATGTACAAGTGTGGAACCACCCACCACAAATCTACAATGCATTATGTACAGATTTACATGTTTATATCTAAAAGAAGCAAGAATAATCTACTGTACTGATCAAAGTGCCTCATTTTTGACTTTTACCACACTGAATGCAAAGATGAACTAGAAAAATACCTAAGTTCATAAATACAGTAAAGTATTAATTCTCACTGAGAATCTGATTTCAATCTCATTTATGATTGTTAATTTATGATTGTAATTTGAAGTGGAACATACATACATGCTCAAATTATGAACGCTTATGATTAACACTCATTTTCAAAGCTTTGTAAATCTCTTCTACATACAACATAATACTCAAAAAAGAATATATTATTTATTGCACGTCACAATGAAACTAATAGCAGCATCATTTCAATGATTAAGTTACACACCCTAAATGCATTAGGCTTTCTACTTCAGGTAATGGCAACTTTTTAAGGGTAATTGATGTTTGCAAAGACAGAATATTAAAATGGTTAATTCTGCCTCTAAACAGTAAGCCAATATTTTAGCTTTGTTTTGCTTCTAAAAGATGTCATAGAAATCCAAAAATGGGAAAATACATTAATTATATCACAGCTGCAAACTTGCAAAATTTTCACCAGAAACTTATTAGCAACAGCAAAAATTTTCATAAGCCTAAAAGAGATTAGTTGCCCATACCTGGGTTAGGCCTACAATTTGCATCTTCCAATAAATTACAATTAATGTAGAGAACTTTCTAAATCTCCTCACACAGGTATTGCTCTACCAGTGGTAAACAAAATTAATACAGCAGTATTAATACTGAACTAGCATTTTCAGATTAATAAATTAAGTGTATCATTTGCCACTTCTGAGGTGAATCTACATGATTGTAGAAACTTAAGTCGAGAACTCATGTTCTACAGGTCCCAACACATCAGACCTCAATTTTCCTATTCTACCATTCCACTGAATAAAGAGAACTGGTTTCTTGACACACTGCACGCTACTTTATCTTGTGCATTCTGTGGCTACAAACATTCATAGCTAACTAGTTTAACTAGTAACATTTGGTAAATGTCAATAATAATTAGAGTAATAAATATTAATAAATAAACATAAATAATACTTTTTTACGCAGGTACTTTGAAAACAATACAACTAACCAACTCTGATGCAAAAAATTTGAAACACTAAACCCGTAACATGTCTTCGAGCTGCTCTTACATGTTCATTAATAAAATGTATATCACCTTAATACTTAAACAGTCAAAATGAAAACAAATTTATCTTTTCTGGTACAAAATGATAAACATAAATCACTACTTCATGGATATCATGGTCTTGTCAGAAATAAAATCTCTTCTCTCATACAAAGAAGAGCTCATAAGGATTGACTGAATGGTCAACACAAAAGAAATAGCATTCCCAAACACACAGTTCCCTGTGCATATGTCAACACGCATGTATACAGAGATTGGTTTGGCTAAAAAGCAGTTGGCTTGTAATATACAAAGCACAACAGCTTAAGTGAGTAATGCAGGAGAAAACCTAGTTAGGGTTAGCTGTGTTTCTTCATCACTTGCGCAGGCTGTCTTTGCTGCTGGCAAGAGATGTGCTTGCACTGCTTTGACTTTGCTGTTCCCCTCCACTTCCACTTCCACTGCCTCCTTCCCCGTTCAGTGTGCTTGATCCTCCCCTCATCACTCGGCGCATAGCAGCCAGTTCCTCCACAGAGGTTGGGGTAGGGGGTGCACTGCGACCTTTCAACTTCATCATTGTCTTGTCTAATCGATGGCAGAACAGATCTACATCTGATTTCCTCATTCCCAATGCTGCTGCTGCTGTCAGATAAGGAACAGAGTAGTTGCTAGTATGTGCACCCCACCCTGCAGATGAAGAACACACAGCTTATATTAGGAAGAATTAGTTATAAAGTAGTAATAGTTATACAGCAGAACCCATTTAAAAGATATTTTAAGGGACGTCTCAAGTCCCAATCTATATTTTTTGGGCATTTTCTTCCTGCACGTAATTTTCTTCCTATACTGGGCAGAATATTTTTTCTGCAGAAATTTTCTTCCACACGAGTAAAAAGCAGAAGCCAAAATTATAAATTCTTCCACACAATGAGCTAGGTGACTCATTGCTTTATTAAGGATTGTAATAAAGGCACAGAAAGGGATTCATACACACAGAAATACTCTTCCACAATTAACACAGCTAATCTGGGAAAGGTGGAAAAAATGCTCCTACTTTCCTAGTATGTTCACACTCAGGACTGTCTACATGTTCTACAGGTAGCCTTGTTATTAAAGATGTCTCTCCAGCTGATTTCAGAGGAATGGACAACAAAATTAAACCAACCAGATCTTCGTCTAACAGCCAAAAGTTTCAGATGCCATCAGAAGAGGTAGTTCAGGTTCAATATGCCCATTTCCAGTTACTAGCATGTGTTTGAATGAATCGGGCATATTGGACGCAAATGTCTTATGTCGACCGACTGAAATTTTGGCCACAATTGGTTTCATTGCGACCACCGCCATATACCTTATAAAAATAACAATCATTCTTTTTGTTAGTATCATCTTTAACTTCAAATATTTTGTTATTTCTTTCTCACAGATTGTACTAGATTGCCCTCTAATTTTTCAAGCCCCCCTGAAAGTTTCAAGTATTTTATTTGCATCCTTTGTTTTTCATTTGATGCCACCTTAGAACATTGTTCTGAGCTAAGAAATTTTTTTTCCTAGTATTTTTGTTTGTGGCCTCTGATACTTTAACAATCACTGACTTAAAATTTACATTGTTTAATACGCATGATCAAGTTGTGAACTGTGAACTCTTACATCTTTGCACTTTATTCTGTGGATAGTACGGAAATAAGCAGCTTAGTTTCCAAAATTTTTGGGATTAAAAAAATTATACACACAAAAATGTACATCCCCAGATGTCTTATGATGGGGTTCTACTATATTTAAAAAGAATATAAACGAGATAAAAATAAATATACATCTGGTTTCACTGTAAACACAAGTAGGTCTAGAATAAAAAGCTTCCAGAAGTCCCAAAAAAGAATTCATTATGTTATTTTTAAAAATATTTCTACGTTAACAGGCCAACCCAAAATATCTCTAAGGTCTAGGAATATCACCCAAGGGAGATGCGCACACAACCGGGACCAAACACAACACTACAGGTCGGTTCTGAAAACATTACATTCGTAGAGGGGTAACTGCCTCTGTTTGTCAAATGTGACATGCTCATCTTGAACTAATCTGTCAGCCCTTCAGTTTTGTTTTAATATTTCTAATCACTAGATAACGTGAAAGTAATTATGTTTCTACTTGATTAAAACTTCTCTTCTACTTTCGTTTGAAAGTTTTCTAGAATAAATCTCTTTCAGATGTTCTCCGAGAACACATTCAGTGGGGCTGCAGAGGAAATGGGGAATGGGGAATGGGGTGATGGGATGAAGTGGCAGACCTGGTTTAGAAGAATTTTATAATGAAAGTTTCAAATAAAAAACAGTAACAAACTCACCTTCAAACTTGTACCCTGCAACTTCTTTAACATCAACACCTGAAACCACCCTGGTACCTGACACACACCTCATGAATAACATCGAACCTAAGAGAGTCACACTTTTCCTGTCATTTCCAGCCAGTGAAGCTAACGTCATTCCTGGAGGAAATATAAAATATTATAAACAAATTTTATAACATGAATATATACAGCTTATTAAAGACGTCTGGTAAGAGTAATATAAAAAAATACTCATCTCATTACATTTGCTCTTAGGATATTTCACAGATAAAATCTCTTAGAGAATCTTACCCATAGATATTGGATTATTTTTAGTTTCAAGAATTCTTTCTCCATGTTTGAAAGCGACTTTACTAAGTTCTTCTTTGAGATACGTGTACATTTCTTTCCTTTGAGTAATGAGATTCTTGTAACCATTTACACCAAGAGATAGAAGAGTTATGAACACATCCATAGATGGACTAGATGATGCTCTACCTGTATAATATAGAGAGTTAAAACAATTTGACAATAATTTAAATATGAGCCCACCCAAAGACTTTATTAAGAATTACCTGGATATGTTTTTGATATTCGTTCTACAAAGCCTTTGTCAAACCCAGCAATTATGGCACCTCCAACTGGTACCAGAAAATTTTTGTCAGTGCTCTGTACAAATGCATCCACTCTCCCTTTTCTGAAAAATAGCAGTTAATGAATGTACATGCAGAATTATTAATTACAAATGATAGCTAGAAATCTTTTTTAAGTCATAGTTTCATTAAGTCATTTTAAATATAATTCCAATTTAATTCCAGTACAATGATCACAAATGTGACTTCTATTACTAAAAATACTGACACATAAAAATTATAAATGTTGAAAATTGTTACAAACTCTTAATGCTTTAGCAGAGAATGTATAATATTTTATTTAAAGTAAAAAGTGGCAATTTTATTGTGTCATAAGTTCATTATCTTTGTAGGAGATTACTAAAAAAACATATGTAAAATCAAAAACTAGACAATATCACCTTGCTGCCTCTTGGATGAGATGCATACATCGTGAACTCTGAAGCCCATAAGCATTATTTATGATGTGTGGAATATTGTAACGACTGCATAAAACGGCCACTTGTTCTACAGAATCACTTGCTCGGGGAGCAAAGCAGCTGGTGGTAGTGAGCACACATGCAATATTTTCTGCACCAAGAGTCACCATCTGGTGTTCCATTGCAGCTAAGTCAGTGCGGAGTTCATCTCCACTAATGCTTGCTTCAATAATGATAGGTTGAAATCCTATAAAAACGTGATCACGATGAAATATCAGCTGTTAAGACCAGCAGCACAAAAATTTAATGATTTTCATTAAATACTAATGCTATATTTACTTTAATATAAGACAAGTTTTTTTCTCCAAATATCTCATTCCAAAAGTATGGGGTCATCTTTAATACACAGATCAAACCTAGCAGGTCAGGATTTGTTTTTATATTTCCTTTTCATGTCACAAAACTCAAGAATGTTGACACAACAGTAAGTTGCAAAGGTGATAAAAATGCCATATGTATTCGCTGCATCTGCAAATTTGCTGGATGATTTAGACCTACATTTTTTAATGGGCCAAAGAGAGAATCTCAAACGAATGGCCTTGAATCAAGTGGACTCTCAGTTTGCCACCATTTGCATTTTGCAAGAGATAGAAATGAAATAATTGATAACAGCATGCATTCTACATCCAACCACAAAAAAATGATGATAAAAAAAAGATATATATATATATATATATATATATATATATATATATAAAATTTTTTAAAAGAACTTAGCAAAAACTTTCCAAACTTGGAAACTGACAGGACATATACAAGTTCGCAGTTCACAACTCAATCACATGAACATTAGACTACACAAATTTTTAATATATTCTGTTAAAGAATGTGAAAGACTTGTTAAAGAATCCATGAGGCCATGAACAAGAGGTAGGACCACAAAATCTGGTGACAGAGAAAGCAATGTTCTTAGATATATGATGAGAGAGTACACAATTCAATGCTATAAACTTTCAGATGGGCCTAAAAAATTAAAGAGAACATCACAGGAGGAGGGAAAGAAACAAAACACATGGAGCTGCCAAAGCAAATATTTCTCGCCAGAGCCTTTTACTTCCATATAACATGGTGGAAACCATTACGGTGGCAAGCCCTGCTGCAGCATCTTCTTAAAGGAACTAAAACATGAACTGCTGCCAATGATACTTAAAAATTGCGTGGCTGCTGCACAAGTTCACGGGTCTTTAGCACGCCTTTAATGTTACAAAAGATAGAGTCAATATTCATGCTTTCTTCAGGGGGTTTGAATATGTGTATATTATGAATAATATAACATTTAAAAGACAATTTTTCTATTTCTCACAAATTAGCCAATTTTTAGATGCAGAAGTTGGTGAACATTATCTGCAACTGTACCAGGCAACACTAGTGCCTCCTAGAGTAGCACCCTCAAGCTTTGTCCCGTTTTGATAGAGGCCCTCGCATTGTTTCTAAATGCTCTGCAACATTCTACTACTATGTAAACCAGCAAAAGTGTTTTCAAGCAGCACAGAAGTATTGCATGGGTCGAATTTGAGCTAAGGCATAAAAAGGTGGATGCCCGATTCAAGTAAAAAAGCTTCATCAAAATATCCGTTAGAAACTTCCAAAGCCTCCAGCCCACTCAGATCAATCAGGTAATATCAATTTTGAATATAATCAACTGAACAATTTAGCGACATCACAAGTTTGAGGATTTTTTCTAAATTTAGCAACAGGATTTATCCACTTTTTTATTACCAGAACCCAACAATTAGGTTTTTTCAGGCAAAATGTCAGCGTTTTCTGGTGCATGATACAAGGAAAAATGAAGAGATTAGCAAGAAAAACCATAATTATGATGAGTTTAAGGAACAATAAAATAGTGTGACAGTTTAAGGAATAAGTTTTAAAATTTTTATAACCAAGAAAATTTTCGATTTTATTTTGGCTAAATAGTAAGAACTCGTTAAAAATAAAAAAAACTTCCAAGAGCTTCAAAATTAGGGGCCTTCATATTTTCAGTAATGACATATGTTCAGGTTTATACAGTATAGGTCTATGTAGTTATTAATACATTTTCTACTAGTTTTATAATCATAAGTTTTTAAAATATTTTTAAACGTTCTTGCTTGCTTGAATTGATCACATTGCATTTACTTATACATTTAAAATAAGCCAACAACAAAATGGTACCTGCTGTAATAATACACTTGAAACAAGCTTTCTGGTCTATCCTAGGCCATAAAACAAATTTTGCATCTGGTCTTTCTTGCTTTAAGGTCAGCATACAGAGTACAAGACTCATCCCAGTGGCAGTTGGAACAACAAAGCACCCAGCTGAGGTCTTTACTCCTGAAACATTACATTTTGCGAGTATTAATATCCAAACAAAACAAAGATAACTTCTATTCATAACAAGCCGAAAAAATGATTATAATCTACCAAGCAAGACAACTCTTATCTATTTTACTTGTCTAACAGTACTCCTATCTACATAAGGGACACCCAGAAATTACGTAACGCAAATTTCGAGTATTTCAATAACCTCCTCTCCCTTATAACAAACTGGTAACAAGATCATGGCCCTCCCTTCCCTCATAAAAAAAATGTAACAGTAGCATCACAAACACACATACGCATTTATAAAATGTAAAATTAATTATAAATCATAACAGTATAAAAATTGTCTTGTGTATAAATTTTATGTATAGAGTAGAAACTTAAATTTCTTTATACAATTGAAATGAATATTTTGTGGTTTCTTTTTAACCAGCCCACAACTTCATTTTGAATAATGATTAAATTTAGTTTCATTTAACACTGTGAAAGAGAGAGAAGAGGATATAGAAAATTAATTGTAACATCAAACCCAGATTTTCTGTACCACTAAAAAATGCAATATCTTGAATATTGACAATGACCCCCAAGGAATACCACAAATTGTGTGTTGCCACCTGAAGTTTCCTATGGAATTTTGAGAGATCATAATAACGCTCTTTCAAAATAATACCATATAATGAGATCATATAATAATACATGCTAAACAAGAACAAGCAGCAGTGAAAGATGATAACATTTTTTTAAACATTGTGTGCAATTACATGCAATTAAAAAATTAACTTAATATTAATGCAATCATACTTGCTAAATAAAACCTACAAGTTACAAACCACCAGCATAGCAATGCTGCATGCACCTAACAAAAATGACTTGCGAAAATGTTTGAGGGAAGAAAGGATGCATAAGAGAAAAAATTTCTGTTAACAAGCCATGTAGAAGTCATCATTAATGACACCTAAGTGGGAGTCTACAATACTGATTTCATTGGATTCTGGAATATACTATAGATCAGTTTCGAATATTTTCTTTGTAATCTAACAGATTCAATTAACATACACTTATGGAAAAAATCTTCACATTTCAAAATTGCACATTTTACACATCACAACTTTTCATTTGTTACCTGTATTTATTTTTTTGGCTTATAATATGACTGAATAAACACGATTATTTCTGTAAATATTTAAGAAAGAAAGAAAATGATCATTTTTATGTAAGAACTAACACCCTCTTTCCCCTCAGTAATGCAAAGTAACGTTGTCCCACCAACTCCCCTCTTTTGCATTACATAATTTATGGAGAAGCCGACCTGGATGGCCGAGGTGGTTAAGAGCGTGTACCAACTCAGCACTTCGGTCTGAAAGGCTGCAGGTTCGAGTCCTGCCTTTGGTGTGGTTATTTGTCCCTCGTCTCTCTTATATATGTCGTCACAGGGCATCTCGTGTTCTGTTGACCCCTGTTTTTACAACTTCTCAGTTTTAGTAATTTACCTTTCTTGTCATGTTACAGGTGAAAAAAATAAAATAATATAAAATAAAAATAAAAACTGTTAAAACAAATCCAGAAGTGAAATTGTATCTTTACAATGAACAAATTCAAATTTATTTCTACACTTGCCACACCAGTTTAGAGTAATATACAATAAGGAATTAGTTTATTATCTTCCAAAATTGCACACAGTATTCCTTTTTATATTCAGCAGCAGATCTACAATTGTATAAATGCTCAAACTCTAATACATCATGTAACACTAATATTATAAGTATTATATTTTTTTTGGTGCGAAATTTAAAGTATTTTCTTGAGAAACCCCTCTGAGCACATTTAAGACAAAACATTAGCTTCAGATTTTATATATTTGCAATTTCGAATAGCTATAAAGAATATTTTATTTGCTTGAAATATATGGTCTGATAGGACCAACTGCAAATTGTTGCTAATTCACTTCCTTCCGTAACAAGGTTGATGCATTCCCCTGCATTTACAAGCAAAGCATATAAAAGAATAAGAAACTCACCCATGTAACGAATAACATCCAAAACGAGGGAATTTGTTAGTTTGTTCATTAAGCTTGATCCCGCTGCCTTTGGCTGTACTTCTCCAAGATCCCCAGAACGTCCAATACCATGACCCAAACGATAATGTCTCTGAGCCACAAGAGCTGCGTAAAAGAAAGAAGGGTTCAAAAACAATTAAATCGCTTAATATGGTACAAGTATAAGCAATCAATTTTGTAATTTTGGAGTTTTTCACCATGAAACAACTACTGTCTTTGAGAACATCTGTGTAAAGATTCTTTTTACCTTTCGAGTTTTCAAGAAATATATCTTTTTAAAAATTACAGAATTATTTAAACACCAAAAGTGGTTTTTCGAACAATTTTTCTCTCTTAATAACAAACAAGAAATTAACAAAAATATATCAGACTTTACTCCTGTTCTTATAAATATTACAATTCATCAAACAAGTTCAGACTGGACATTGTATTTCCAAATTAGTGGTACAGTTATGGTGTTGGTGTAATATTAAAATGTTGCAGTAATATTGATGGAAATGGCTCCTATTCATTCCAAATGAATTTAAAAACTTATATTGTTATAAACGTATATAAACTTATAAAGTCTATAAAGGTTTTCATAAAAAAGTTTATTATGCATTTAAAATTACTTCTTAATTATGTTTGAAAGTTTATTAAATGGTGACAAGAAATGCCAATGATTGATCGAGATAAACTTAAAAAAAATGTATTAAACATTTATTTAAATTAAGGATGTTTCATACTATAATGATAAAAATGTATCATAATTGGAAAAAAATAATTAATTTAATTCATTGTTAAAATTTAATTCAATTCACTGAACTTTGGATTTTTTTCTTAATGCAACTTAGCCAGAAATGCTACTTATTTCACAGATTAAAAAATATCATTGCTCTAAAATACTTACTTCAAAATGTCAACTACTAAAAAAACTTATTGTTATATCGCGACATCTTCATCTCTTGTCTCCACTCATCTCTATGATTCCAAAGTTCAATGTCAAGAACACATCATCTGACCAGCATCACCACTTTGCACCATCTCTCTTTAGTGGTACATAAACACCTCAGTTAAAAACTAAAATACAAACACAATTTTGTGGAATCTTACTTGAAGCAATTCTGGCTTCTCGCTCCCCAATACCACAGTTACCAGGAAAATTATTACTGTCCATTTGTGCCAAATCTGCTAAAAATAGCTCAATTGTGGTGTCATCCCATCCCTCTTCTGGCCATTTTCGCTGAAAATGTATTTTAAAAATAAAGTGTATTCAGAAACTGCAATCACAATAAATACAGCATGAAACGGGTAGACAAATTTTAGAAACTCCTTACACTTTATACATTTTAATCAATTTAAAGCATATATGTAAAAGTAACTAACTCACTAGCAGTTTTTTCCACACAATTCTAAGATAATATAAATGTTAAATGAAAACTATCTCAATAATTGCAACAATATCCAGTAATTCATTATGTCCATTTATGGCTTTATTAAGTTTGCCACATAAATCAGTAATAGGATTTTTATTAAGCGAGTATGTTTCGTAAGGACAAATACAAATTACTAATTCAATCAGTACATTTTTGCTATATTCTAAATTACAACAAAACATACCTGCTCAATAAGTTGTCTAATGAGATTTTCTCTGGTCTTCTTAGCTGCTGCTGCTTGTTGCAAATAAGTTGCAGGAATTAGTCTTTCAGCCAAAGTAAAACTATGGCTGTTCATTTTAATATTTACTTTTATAAAGATATGAATGTCCAAACACTATTGACTTGCCATTGCTATAAATCAAAAACTATTATTTTTATCACAGAAGTCCCAAAAAGGCCAAAACATACAGGTAAAATATTATCGTCAGAAATAATTAAATATATCATGCTTGGCCCTATGATCTTTCTAGTTTTTCTCTCTTAGCATGAGTATCAGAAATTAAGTAAATGATGTTCGCCATTAGTATCTAATAAAAAACTTCTTACTCGACAAATGTTAATACCTCCGCAAAATAAAATCTAAACTAAACAATAGTTAAAACCCAATGTGGTGGCCTTCATTACACCCACATTTTATGTATGCACCCTAAATCTGAACACGGTAAAATATAAACTATTCCAACAATAACGACACGTGCACGAAGCATAGGAATGACACAACAGTATAATCGGTCGTCCAAAACCCTGTCTGTCCACTAGCACATTTCGCGTTAAACTCCTGATGCACTACTTGACATCACACTTCAGCCAATTCTTAAAAACAATCGTGAACAATACGCCACTTACCAACACCAAGACGGCACAATACGTACAACTATCTTTGAATAAACGAGATGATATTTACAAGAGATGAATTGTCGAGACTAACCATCAACTCCCACAAAACCAAATACAACCTCCGTTCTCTATCCTACAGCGTTCGGCAGCTGAGCGCGCACTACGGTAGTCTTTTGTTTTTTATTTTGTCTTGTTCTCACAGATGGAGTGCTGCCTTCCAGCACATGGCCTCTACGTCATTAGCATTCACTTGTTCATTTTCCATCTTCACAATTTCATCATCTCCTCCAGCCTTCGAAGGGTGCAATGGCAAGCATGAATTTGTCTGCAACTTCGAAGATTGCCCGCCGTGTTACTGAGGGGGCTTTTTGCTTTGTAAAGCAAGGCCAAGCCATGTAAGGATTGAGAAGTATATATTTTGCGTATTTTATGATGTGATTATTTGTTTAGCGCGTTGAACATGTAATGTTAGATAACCAATAAATATGTGCGGGTTTACTAGAACATTTTGTAGTTCCATAATTTAGAAAAAGAAAAATTATACGTGAAAATTAGTTTTTGTTTTCAAATTAAGTCTAGATTGTACAGCAGTAATGTTTTCTAAATTGATACACATGCATTATTTCCTTGTTTAGCAAGTGGCATCCTTCATTTCATCATTCTAAATTCTGTTTGCGGCCTTTAAGTGCAGTTGCTTCAGAAGAGACTTCGCAAAACATTCCACAATCTCCCACTGCTGCTCAGAATGCTGATGGACTGAAGTTGAAAGAAGAGGTTGAAAAACTAAATAAAGATATTGCAAGTCTTGAAGAGAAGCGACAAGATTTAGATGTAAGTTGTCATCAACTGTATTGCTTCTTTTGATTTTGTAGAAATCGGAAATGTATCAAAGATGTGAATTAACTTTCTGGGTAAAAGAGTAGTTCCATGTTTGTAGTCCTAGGTTTAAACTGATGGGTTCAAAATGTTTTTAATACAATGTTTTCAAGGATTTCTGATGCAATTAGATTTTAACAGCCAAAAAAGAGCACTTTCTGGAAGATGAGAAAAAACTTTCTTGTCATATCAAGTATTAAATTTCATATAAATGAGTACCTCCATGAAAGAACATTGGTATGGCAGTTTGGCAACCTTTGAGGAATGAAAAACAAATGATTATTTAGTGCTGTAATTTTATTAGAATACTCTAGAAACCAACATAAAGATTGTGGTACGATCTAACATATTGAAAATTTCTCGGATTTGACCAAGCCATAATAGAAGGCTTCTACATTCAACGCTTTTTCCATGTAACATTGCTTTTGATAAATTTTCACACCCATGTTCTGGAGATACTCAAATATTGTGATGGTGAAACAAATGATGCTGAACATATTTTGTTCTTTACATTGTGGCAAAAGACAGTGTTCTGAAACTTCTAACTTTCCAGATGAACTCGGATAATATTAATAAATAATTTGAAAGAATAGCTCATGTCATAGATTCAGTATTTTATTTATTCAGGATTTACAGACAATGGTACAACTGGTGTAGCCTGAATCATCACTAGCATGATTCATTAGTTGTCCCTTGTTAATATTGTTCCAAAGTTGTCCTCTGTCCACCAGATCATTATCTTGTCTTCTACATCCTTGTTTCTTCTATATCCTTAAGTAATATTAAATTGCATGCAATAGCTGAAGAGTAGTATTTTTAAATAAATTCACAAAGATAGCTTAAAAATAAAATCCTTCAAAAGGGGCAAGTTTTTTATTTTGTTCTAATTTATAACTTGTAAAGTCATTGACAATTTTCAGGATAAATACAAACGAGCACTAGCAGAAGGAGAGAATATGCGGAGGAGATTGATGAAACAAATTGACGATGCTAAATTGTATGGTATACAAGGCTTTTGCAAAGATCTTCTGGAGGTACTAGCTTCTTTTTCTTTTTTTTTTGTAAAAAATATTATTTAAAATATTTGTGAATGCTTTTAATTTTTATAAGGTATATCTAATTAATAAATTTAATTTTTGCTGTAAATTGAAATTCATAAGTAATCAGAGCAATTTTTTGGATTTACAGGTATCAGATATTTTAGGAACAGCTACTGAAAGTGTACCTAAACAAGAAGTCACAGATTCCAACCCTCATTTGAAAAATCTTTATGAAGGTCTCACCATGACTGAAGCACAATTACAAAAGGTAGTTTAGAATTCAATCAGTTAGTGTACATAATTATTTGTTAAAGAAGTTTTTTCATTTAATAATATTTCTCACTTTGCAGGTGTTCAAAAGACATGGTCTGGTTCCTGTGAATCCATTGAACGAGAAGTTTGATCCTAATTTCCATGAAGCTTTATTTCAACAGGTGATGTAGATAGTATACAATTCTTGTTTCTATTTATTTTTGTCAATCAAGAGTGTCATTTGTTATTTTAAAATTAAAAATTGGGTTAAAAAATAGTCAGTATACTTTCCTGAAGAGGGTGGAGAGGGGGCGGAGAAAGGAAGGAGGTAGAAGGGGTGTCTCCTTATGCATTCTCTCATTATAAAAAGTGCTCTGAAATAAATGAATCAAGCATACCAAAGTGCAGTGTCATGTGTTTTGTATCAGTTGGAGACATAATCAAGAAAAGGCATCTTTCATATTATTTTGCTTTTCGCGAACCACATTCCCTTTCACCCAGAATTCTTAGGCATAGGCATTTCTTACTATACATCCACTTGAAGCTATGACACAAATGATTTCAGTTGGCCAACCTCATAGGACACTTGCACATTGTACACATAAACCCTGATGCCAATAGTCAGTGGTTCTGAATCCACTTAATCACAGCCAAACACCCATTTTGCTGTTACTTATGAGTCACATTTTTCTCACCATTGTTACAAAAATCTCAATGATCGCAAATCACAAAGAATCAAAAGAGCACAAGAAATGTAACTGTTCAACAGAAACTTGCCTAAACACTTTGATACCCCCCCCCCCATCTACACAAAAAATTGAAATAAAACTGCAAAATTACCACTATGCAACTTTCCCTTCAATAGAGAGAATAGTTATGGTGTTCCGGTGTACTAGGATGTGAAATGGCATAACAAAGACAGAAACCACTCGCAAAGCAATTAAAATTATTTTAGTAGTTTAATGTTTAAAATTTATTTAGATCATCTACACCGTATAATTTAGTATCATATATTGCTCTCTATTACTATCCTCTGAAAGATCTCTCACTATACCATGTCTCCTCCACAGTGGATTTCCTCCTCACCTGAGCAGCATGTGTCCATTTAAATGACTTCCTTAAGTTGTACTATGTTACCTTTCAGGTGCTACATGTTAAAAAACACCCACACACTCACACACAGTTTTCCTCCAAATCATAGCATAAACTCAACCATCAAAAATACAAATCAAAAAAACTATTTTTGTAAATCAATAAACAAATTTTAAAAAATTCTGAAGAGCCCAAGAAACACAGCTGTTTGACAGAAAATTAACTTATTACTTTGACCGCTACCCCAGACACACACAAAAATCAAAATAAAACCACAGTACCACTAGGCAACATTCACTTCAACAGACAAAAGTAACGGGGCTCCAACCATGTACTGGAACGTGAAATAATTTCATGAAGAAAGGGACCAATCACAAAACATTAATGTTATTTTGGTAATTTAATTTTTATAATTTTTTATTTAGATGGCAGTCTTGCCAGTTGTGCTTTGTTCATTATAATTATGTACATATTACATGTGTTGCTGACTACCCCCACCCACTAAAAAATTTCTCTTAACACCGTAAGTACCCCTTGTTCCCTCAGCCATGGTTTCCCTCCTCACTCAAGTGCTGCAAAGTTCTGGTTTAAATGACTTGCTTATATTGCTCCATGCTTATGCAATTGTATAGAATTGCAAAATAAATCTCGTGCCCTATGACTTCCATTTTAAGACAATTTTCTTATTGTTCTAGATTACTTATTTTAAAGCACTTGGTCAAGTGATTAGAGGTCTTTAGATAACATTAGTTAAACTATTGATAAATGTGTTTGGGTTACAGGAAACTGCTGACAAAGAACCTGGAACTGTGATTGTGGTTTCTAAAATAGGATACAAACTGCATGATCGAGTAATACGGCCAGCTTTAGTAGGTGTCTCCAAAGGCTCGTAATATTATGAAGATTAGAAATGTAGTGAATGTTGTAAATATATTTTCTTATATTGTTTAGTTATGATTTTTCAAATTTGGTTAAAATATATTTGGAATGACTGTCTACAATGAAATAACTTTTTATGTTGCTTTGTATAATAGCTGTTGCAAGTGCTATATACAAGATTGTATGCCCCCCTTATTTTGAATATTAATGATTATTTAGACTCAGTGTGTTTTATCTTGCCATTTTATGAAGTATTCATGAAAAAAGAAATTTGTGTAATGACATGCAATGGCAACTGATTACTAAAATAAATGCTGTTTCTTTTATTAGTATGTGAATTATCGTCACTCGATTCCTGCTAACCCAATTACAAAATAAGGCCATGACAATTGCTGCCAATATATCTTTATGACAAAAAGAATTAAATTTCTGATTTTTCTTTCCTCCCAACACCAATTGCACAATTAAATTTGTCTATTTAATACCTACATCCTTCTAATTGTTTGTAAGCATCCAATTTCTAAATCTTGGCGTAAACCCGTCAAACACACCATTTTACTCTCTAAAGAAAAAAATATTGATAAAATATGAATGTATATAACAGTGCTGTCCAACTGGCAGCTCACAGGCTACATGCGACCCACAGTGCCGCAAAAGGTTGTTAGTCAAAGTGAAAATTGCTTTCCTCCATATCAATCGAGAACATGGAGCACCTAGCACACACGCCCTGCTGAGGTCCATGCTCCCTTTAATGTAAAAATTAGTTACATTTAGATTTAAGGATTTTTTTTTTTCTAGTAAATACAGCAATTCAAAATCATTGCAATGTGCAGTAAATGTGTTGATTTCTAATCCCATTATAGATTTTGAAATCATTCCAATGTTTACATGGTTCCATACCCCCCCATTCAGAGCAGCCAGGTAAATTGCCAAGATCAACAATACGGATAGTCAGGCGTGAATCGCCTGAGTAATGAAAATATGGTCTGCAACAATATTAAATGTAGTTGTGGCCCTTAAGACCGCAAAAGGGTGCACATACACATACTTAGTCATTTTTACATTATTTATGATATTTGGAGAATTTTTTCGACATTTGATATTAGGTTTGTTTTAAGTTGGCTGTTCTGGAAGAAAGTCCCTTTCTGTCACTCACGGTGGGTACATATTTCCGGCTGCAGTAAGTGCAGTTGTGAATACGAGTTTGCGTGGGTGTGGGGGGATCATTCATTATAACAATATACACAAGGGTAGTAAAATTTTCGAAATAAAATCCTTTTATTTTAGTAAATATGTCCAAAATAGTTCTTGTTACAAAGTGCTGGAGTGCGATCAATGCATTTTTGAAATCAAGTTCTGTTTTGTACGAATTCTATTACCGTCAACTGTCTCAATCGATAACTAATGCAAAGAACTAAAGTGCCCAGTGGAAATCGAAGCTAGAACCGCTCGCGCAGGAAGTAATATTTCAATATAAACTACTAAACTTTATTTTAATTAATTTGCATGAATTGATGACATTATATATTAGTGTTCTGAATTTTGGAAATAACATTTCCGTTATTCGATGGAACTGCAACTTCCAGTTTGTTGGGGGTACCAGCCGCCATTGCGTGTTACTCAAGGGTCGAAACAGCAGTCCATGATATGCAGGCAAATGCAGGTTTGTAGTATACGCAAAGCATCTGAGAACTTAGATTTACCGTTTACAACTCTAAATGATGGACTGAAAAATAAATATAAATATCAAATATATAGACAGCCTGAATTATCGTTTAATGAAGAAATGCACCTTATTGAGGGATTAATTCAGTGAGCAAAATGGGATTTCCCACTGAGAAGTTGAGCGCAATGTTGTTCAAAAGTATTTAAATCGTTTGGTAAAATTGAAAAGACAATCGGCAAGGCTCCAAATAGGTAAATGGGTTTCTGAGTCGGCATACGGAATGCATGCTCTGTTGGAATGGCTGAGAATATTTCACGAAGCAGAGCTGTTGCAACGAAGAGAAAAATTAAACAGTGCTTTGGAAATATTGACGGTTTTCTCTCTCTGGAATCTCCCCTTCCAACACAATAAATTACGATGAAACCAATTTTACAGATGATCCTTGTCAAGAAGAAAATATCGTTAAACGTAACGTAACATATACGAAGAGTGTAATTGATACATCCAAGCGGCATCATTGCTGCTGCAGCTGATGGATCTCTTCTAACATATTTATCCTACATGCGCTAGAAGAGGTGTGGAAGACGCCCAGTACAAGCGATATTCAAGTGGATGTCTTGACCATGTCATGTTTAAAGATTTGTTTCAATATATTCTCCTACCGTAAGCAAAGAAACTCGAACGCATAAAAGAGATGATATGGTAGATAATATATCTGGTCATATCAGTCTATATGAAATTACCCTTTGAGATAACACCAATATTCATTTTATTTTTCTATCAAATTCAACGCATTAGTGTTAACGCTATATGTGCCACTTAACGTACACAACTCGAACAAGTCGGCCTTCTCTAGCCGCCATATTGGCTTTGAAAAACTCCTGTACGCAGGCCTTGTATCTAGATAGTGTTGAGGTGAGGTACAATACTTTTTACAGGTTGTTTAGAATTATACAATTCAAAAGGTCATTAATACATTCAAAATCATTGTTAAAATTAATATTACTTTCCTTTTTGGTGCTCGGCCTAGTCTCTAATTGCATAGAAACAATTATGCAGCAGAAACGATTTTACTTGGAACTTAAAACTGTTTCACACATTTCAACACATTTCAATTTTTAAATAAAAAAAAATTAGTATTTACTTATTTTATATCACAGATGCAAGACGTTTAACTCCCATGGTTTATGATTGAAAGTAAATAAATTGAAAAACAACAAAACACTATATCCTTTATTTCTTATTTCCTTCTTTACATCCGGGAAACATTATTTTTAACATATTATGTATCCGTGACCAAACAAAAAATACAACTGATATTTTAAACATCGACGTTGTTATCGACATCGATAACCTTTTGGTGATGTATCGATGTTTGGGTAAAATTTGCCATCACTAATTTTCATTCCAATACGGTATTTCTACGCTCTGAGATTGTCATTTAAGATACGAAGATAACTGCTCTAGAGCAATACCACGACTTCCGTACGAAGGTAATTTTGAAAGTAAAATGTGATCAATGACGTCAAAAGCTTTTGAAAAACTTTTTCGCGACGGCCCGAAAGGGTGTTGACGCAATGTGATTTCTGCCCAGTGCTCTGAATCAAAAATATTCCAATAGGCGATTCATTTTGATCCATGAAGAAGCGACATCTTTTACAAACGAAAATATGTCTGTTTCCGTTGATTTTGATTGCCTAAATCTATGTTGACAATCTGAAAACGCTTCGTGTTTACCAAAGAAGGCCGACATAACAGATATGACAGTGAGATTTTTTGAGATACAACGAACGGAATACTACGTACACAGTTTTCTCATCTTAACGAAATACAAAAGAAACAAATTTTGGACAATGATCAACCTACCCCTACCTTGAGTATGGCTGCACATTGTGTTAGCGAGAAAATTGCAAGAAAATTCAATTCTGCGTGATATAATTAACACAAATGACTAACAGGTAGTGACGTTAAAGCTAAGATTCATTGTTAGCCGTATCATTAATTAATGACAGTACTCGTGAAAAGAGATAGATATTTTGACACGAAACATTTATCAAACGCTGTACAAAAATATATGTCAAAAGACCACATATGTAATTCAGTAAAACGTAAACGCCTGGGGAAAAAAATTGAATCCGATTTCTGGATTATTGTCAGAGAAACAAACTTGCAATACTTTTTAGAATTTGAATATCTTGAAATTACGTCCGCGTTTGCTTCATGAAAATGCTTTGGAATGTAATATCAGTAAGACAGTTGTTTTGAATAAAGTGAATAAAATTACAAAAAAAATGGATCGAAGTGGGGCATGGCCCCCGTGTCCTCTTCCCGGGATCCGCCGCTCTTCAGTAGTATGTTTTGCCTACCCTGAACATTTGTTTACGAGCCGCCACTGGGTTAAATCACTGAAAAATCGCGGATTAAACATATTTACGAAGGTGAAGTGTATTATGTAAGGCTACGAACCCTTTGCAAAATTTTAAGGCGCCTTTCTCCCTACCACCGGCCTGTGCGCAAGAAACCTTCTTCCGAAATTTCTTTGAAGGAACCCCTAGAAACTCGCCAATTAGTGTAAACAACATCTCTCAAAGTTTCAGTTCGATTGAATAATGTGAAGACCTACCTCATTGACTCAATTTTTTTTAATTGCAATTTTTCTTTAAAAAATAGTGTTATCATCAGCTTATCATAGGAACGTGTTCTTTTTAATTTTTACGGAAAATGTTCCTGTATTCAATTTTTATCATTAGAACTTGTTTGACAAACGTACACATCGGAAGATAATTGAGATTTTTTGCGGAACGAACGTGAATTGATTATTTGGCGTTTAAAGGGCGCATCGACAGCTATGGTTATTTGGGATCATGTCAAATAATTGAAAACCATAATATAGATTATGAAAGGGCCGTTGCAGATGTCGAATTATCACTTCACTTATTGATCGACTTTCGTTGTTCTCTTCATTTTGTGTGTCTGTTTCTGTTTATTTGTGTTTTTTTCTCTAGCAACTTGTGCGTAAAAGACCTCTCCATTATGGGCGGACTCCTGCTGCCATAGTCTTCCTAATCTTCTTACTATGTCGTCTGACCACCGTGTTCTCTGTCTTCTGATATGTCTCTCGTTATTTTGTAGGTGCATCTGTTCGTGTTTATCCTGATTACAAGTCCTACCCATTTCCATTTTAGGTGACGTGTGTATTGTTGTTGTACGTCGTTTTGACCTGTTTTTTGTCTTATGTCAGTATTTCTTACTTTGTCTTTTAGACTTCTACCTAATGCTTTCCTTTCCATCTTTGACATATATTTATAATTTTCTCCCTTTCCGTTAGTGACAATGTGGTATGTAAAATTCTTATATTGAAATTGCTGTCCATGTTAACACATCTCAGACATCACTTCCAAAACTCATCATCAGTTGATAATAATTATATTTATTTTAGGTTGATAGTAAAATCATACACACATTTGGAGAAACGAAAATACCGTTTTTTGAAATGCGTTAGCTCGCGTGGTAATTGGCTTTGAAAATGTTTCATACAAAAGTAGGGAATTTTATTCTCTTTAAAATTTAATTGAGTAATTTTTCTACCAAACGTGAGAGAGAGAGAGAGAGAGAGAGAGAGAGAGAGAGAGAGAGAGAGAAAGAGAGAGAGAAACAGAAAGAGAGAAACAGAGAGAAAGAGAGAGGGAGAGAGAGAGAGAGAGAGAAAAGAAAGTACCAGTTTCGGGCCTCACGGAGTAAGCACAGAGTTAGGAAGTCGAAAACTTGAGGTCTTAACTAGCGCCTGGGTACATAGAACATATTTTTGACTTTTTTCCAGGTAACCCACCTTTTTTAGTACCTACTGAGTGGACTAACGATAGTGGGGTAATGGTCGCTTCCATAACTCCCTAAAATAGACCAGAAGCGGTTGCAGGTGAAGTGCTGAAGAGAGCTAGACCAACACGAAGGTTGCCTTTTATGTTTCGGGATTTGGCAGCCCTGTTGTTGCAATCTGGCAACTGACAGCTTTACCGTAAAGTTGGATGTTTTGAGGTTATACGTACTCAGAACGTTTTGACATACGAGCGCTATTTGTGTTGTTTACAGTAAATTAAAAGGTTCATCTTGGCCCAAAAATGGAATTAAATCGTGAACATTTTCGTGCGATTTTCTACAACTTTCGACGTGGATCAACTCAACCACAGTGCATGGATGAACTTAATTCAATTTTTGGCAAGCTCCATCAAGGACCAGTGTTTGTCGATGGTATGGTGAATTCAATCGTGGTCGTAGTTCACTCCAAGACGTATTTCGCGAAAGTCGTCCAAAATCAGTTGTTCCGAAAACCATTGATGCTGTGCGTGAACTGATATTGCAAGATTGTCATGTGACCTATCGTGAGATTGAGACAACTTTAGGCATTAGTGGGACCAGCATACATTCAATATTACATGAACATTTGACTGTCAAAACAATTTGTTCGCGTTGGATTCCACACAATTTGTCAATCGCTCAAAAAAAAATCCTAATATGTGTAATACATTTCATTGCAATTGTCTCCTTCTTGATGGTGCAATTTTCATAAACATCTGTATATTATGTAATTAAAGGCCGGTAAACCTTACGTCAGTGGTTTGGACACTCACGGAGCATCGAGTTGTGTTACATTAAGCAAGAACTTGCGTACTCGTGCGAGAACTCTCGCATGTTAATCCCCACCCTTTCCCTATCCATTGTTAAGGAAACGTGTTTATTTTAAAAAAAAAGTATAAATGTTACTTCGTACTTACACAATATCACGCAAAAATAAAAATAATGCAATTTACTTTGGAAACAAATTTTCAATAAAGGTTTATTCAGTATTATAGAGATATGTTCCTCGAACAATTCACACTTCCTTAAAAACATTGTAGTTCCTGGTCAGTTGAGCGAGTCTTAGGAGTCGGGGTAGGTGGTCGGAGCTCGGATGATAGGTCGTTTTGAAGCGAGTCCAGGCCATACAGCCGACTGACATCAATCTTGATGCGGGGGTGAAAAGCGGAGGTTTGTTAAGACTTCGTCTGAGTTGCTTTCTTGGGCACTTTTTTGTATAGTAGGGAATTATTGTTTTCCCGCCTTGCAGACGCAATGTCTCCGCAGGACACACCTGACAACAGAAGCGAGCAAATGGGGGAGTAGCGGGAGAAGTCTGGCAACTCGCTGTTGCTTTCACCGTCTTGGTTAGCGCACTGGAGAATGAACGATTGAAGTCCACGGGGTTCTTCGCCTGGTATCGGCGATTCGCCTCAGGCAAGAACACCTTCTCCGATACTCAAATCTTTTGAAATCTCACCTTCCCTCAGAAAAGTAGGGCATCTGTTAGAATTGGCCGCATTGTCTCATTTACACAGAGAAGTGGGCTTGCACTGGGATATAGATCGTATGTGGATTTGCCGCACTTTGCGCCAACAGGGCTTTCGGCCATGCACCGTTGTTATGAACATAGTCTGTTCAAATAACACGCGGACTGTTTGTATTCCGCGTCTCCAGTTGGTTCCAGGGGAATTCGCTTGATTTCGCTCAGATCTGCTGATTATGACGCATTTTCCGATTGTTGATATCTTCATTTGTTTTTTAGCTATGTAATTTTAGTGAAGTGAGATTTTTACGTTTGGCTGATTTCAAAATAGATGACCTGAAAGAGAAAAGAGTTGCTGTGAAATTTTGTGTTTAACTAGGGAAATCTGCGACAAACTTTCGCTATACTTAATACTGCTTACGAAGATTTACTATGAAACGTACGGCATCTTTCAAGTAGCACTGAAGAGGATGAGCGTTCTGGACGTCCTTCCACGTCAACTAATGACCCACACGTCGACAAAATCAACACCATGGTTGGAAAATAGACGTCTGACTGTCAGAAAGTTTTCTGAAGAGTGTGGGATATCACCTGGATTTTGCCACGTTTTGACAGAGAAATTGAAGATGCACCGCGTTGCTGTGAAATTTGCGCCATGCCCGATGACGGAGAAACAAAATGCCCATTGTTGGCGTATTGACCGCTTATTCAAATTAATTCAATTAATTCAAAATAGGCGCCATGCTTCGAGCAGCTCAGTTTCGCTACTCTTTGAAGGTATTTTAGAAGAAAAGACCATACATTTCTAACTTCCCGCCGCAGAGATGAGTCTAATTTTGCTAAAAAAAGCCGCGGGAATTCCTTCCTAGTTGAACAAATACTATTTTTTTTGTACAAAGTTCCTTGTCATCGACTGTCAACTAATTTCTGATACTTCGAAAAGCCACCGAAAGATCACATCACCTCCTGGACGGCCGCGACGAAAAATGTACCCATTGTCCCTATTTTTCCACATCAGACGCGACGAGCTCGCATTGTCATGAAAAAAAGAGGAGCCGCGAGCAGTTTCGTGGCCATCGTTCACAGAAGATATATTGAAAAAAGTTGAGCTCATTGAAAGTTTGATTCGGCACGCTGCCAGGCAATTCCCAGCACATTTCTGCAGTCTACGACCTGAAACGTCAATCGCGTCTAGCGTTTGTAAGCCCCAAACGTGAAATTCGTAAGGAAAAGGTTTATTTTCGTCCGGACGGAGGTAAACATGACAATCACTTCAATATTCATTGATTCTTTCGGAAGTAATAATCTTTGTCAATTATGTGTCTTTCTTTTCCAGAACTCTCTAGTCTGAGGAAAACATAGAAGGCGATATTCGTTGCAGTTTCTGCTAATCTCTCCCAATTTATCTAAGCAATATTTCGCAGCCTAAACACTCATCGTGTCCAGCTTTGTCAGGAACTGCTTGATCGTTCCTAAGAAAAAACTTCTTGTCAAAGATCATATCCGTTGATGAATCGGTGTATGGTTATGACATTGGAACAAAGGTCCAATTGTCCCAGTAGACGGGTGAAAAGTCCTCCAGAATCAAAGAGCTCGCCATGTTCGGTCCTAGGTCAAAGTGATGCTGATTTTTTTTCATTGTAAGGGTGTTGTTCACATCGAGTCTGTCTCTTGTCTCTGTGATAACCATCCACCATGGAGTCCAACAAAGGAGCTCCCACCGAGGTGCCAGAGAGATATAATGGGGGATGACACAGCACTGCCTAGCCGTGGCTCCCCCACTCACCTTGGATTTAAGTACAAAACCTAGTCCAATGCATACAGACACTGCTCAACCCACAGGTCGTTCCCTTTGACATAGGTCACCCTGCACGGCAAACATATTATGGATGTTCATTACTCAGAGAAGGCCAGTGAGGAAGAAAAAAGGGAATGATAATAATGAGGAAAACGATGGTGCAGAAATAGTGAAGAAAGGCAGGAGAATCCCAAGAAAATCTGCTAAGAAAGTCCACCTGGATGGAACTGGGATTCAAACCAAGACCATGCTGTGGAAGGTGTACATTTTTATGGAAAGCTGCCCCAAAACATGAAGAAAATGACCAGTCCTTCCATTAGAATTGGCTGTTCTCAATTTAACCACTAAACCTCTTGTTCCAATAATGTGAAAAAGAAGAAATATAATTTATGCACATGTACCAGTATTTCCATAATATTGTTGTGGTGCAACACATTTAATAAAAAATCATGAACATTTTTACATTCAATTATCTTCTTTTATCTAGAAACAACAGTCACCAACACACTACATTTTTCTTCTTAATGATACTTGGCCAAATTAAGTGTCTTCAAATAATTATGTATAAATTCATATATACATCTTGTAAAAGTTCATTTGCACTAAAACATTTCATTCCAGTCACATTTATTCACATAAATAAAGTACCTTGTAGAAATCAGTCTTCACTGACGACTCACTCAGGAGCCCACAATTTAAATGTGCGGTCATATGAAGATGTGGCTATAAACTGTGAATCTGGAGAAACATCCACACACATTACCTTTCCATCATGACCAGAGAGAGTTCGCATTGGCTGCCACGTTTTATTAGACCACACCTGCAACAATAATGAACATTTTTCTTCCAGGTACTTTGCTACATCAATCTAAGATGAGATGAATAAATATGTGTAGAATATGAGCAGCATTAAACTGAGTAAAATGTAGGTAAAATTCACTTTAATAGGGCAAATTAGAAAGTATATGATGGGTTTGGCTCTAGTCCTGTACCACGAACGATAATCCAATAAGATAATTGTATGAACGTGCTCGCCATATCAATTTTGAATTTTTGCCGAAACGATTGAGAGATTGATATCTTCTTATTGCTCAGAATCAATTCGATGTGATGAAGGACTATGTACAGTCAAGCTCTTCACACGTTTCAAATTTTAATTAATAGTATACAATAACATTTTTTTTTTAATTTTAAAAAGAAGATTGACAAGAATTGAACTAAAAGTGAAATTAAATGACAATTATTAAAACTAAATCTAAAAATTGAAATAAAATCTATTCACATGTGAGGAAGCAAGTTTCAATCCCAACAATTTACTCTTTATCCAGAAAATGAATTATTGATACTAGGGTAATCTAAATGATAAAATCTTCAAGCATCATCTGTAAAATGTCCACTGTGGATTCCATCCATACTAATTAATAGCACACAGTATACATTTACATTGGAAAAGACATGGCTAAATTCCGAAATATAGTTAATATTAGGAGAAGCCGGTAAATTTGCACATTCGACAGATGATATGTATGTTATTTGAAGGATGATTAACAGACAATTTCAGATATAATCCAACCAATGTGTGTGAAAACCAAAAGGTGCTGGTTAATGAAATTCAAACTTATTCATCCATAACATCATTGAAACCAATAAAAAATTGTTGAACTTCTAGGGAAAATAGTAGAATGAGTTTTAACTTCCGTAACAAAACTCACGAATACTGAAAATTGCTAGGCTTGAAACTAGTTCCCTCAATTACATAAATTATTTCTTTGCAATAATGACACACAAAAGAATTAATCATGGAGTTCAGCTTATCTTTAACACTGACTGAGCAAAGCTTGAAACCAGCCTGCAAACAAGTAATGAAAATTAACGGGAAAATAAATTATAACTAATTTTATCCTTTTCATCACTGAATTCAACACATAAGAAGCAAATTTTAAAAATTTAACTTTTAAAAAAATGTTTTGATATAATCTGTTCATTATTTTAGGCAACTCCAAATTTCAATACATGGAATCTGCTGAACTAATGAAATACAATTCAGTATGAGATATTTTACACACAGGATCTACGCTGCGACCATTTTATGGTGCAATTTAGCAAGTAATACTTAAACTCCAGAGAAATTGAGTTGATTTACCTTGGCAGTATTATCGTACGAGGCTGTCACCAGGAACTGTCCAGTTCCTTTCTGGTATTTCACTTCTGATAAGAGGTTCATGTGGGCAGGTACTGTATACAAGCACGCTCGTCTTCGAAGATCCCAAATTTTGCAGCTGTTATCTTCACTACCTGTTGCTATGTGGTACCTAACAATAAATATTTTCAATTTATTGTTTACCAAATGTATTAAAATTCTTGTTTATGAAATTGCTGTTTAGCAAATAATTAACACTATACCAAGTGATATTTAACAATACCAGCTGACCCATTGAATTACAGTGTGCAAAAAGAACTGTAGAAAAATTACAACAGAAAAACAATACAAATTCCTGGCAAAGAAAATCAAAAGTCAATCAATCAATCCCCCCCAATTATTTCATGAAGATCAGTTCGACTTAACATGTTCTGGAACAATAGAACCACCATTTATGTGATCATAGAGTCAACTAGTAGTGCAAAAGAATGGCACAAACTTTCTTGAATTAATTTTCCATTTTCTTTGGTCTGGACAAGCTATTTGGACTTGCCACGTGCCAGTTGCCAACTATAGCTGTACAAAGGACATTTTTTTACATTTTCTCAATTTTTCGGTTTCCTAATAGTAGAACTGAAATATTACTTTAATAGTATTAAAGAAGTGTAATACAGTGTCCTAAATAGCAATTATTGAAAAATTTGGAACTGTTTTTTAAGAAAATGGCTTTTAAGTGTTATTGTAAATATGATTTTCAAGGTTTTTCACAGAATATTTTCGAGTTTTCAAAAAAGTTCATTTGGAGTCTTTTGAAGCACATTCACTTACAAATGCTATATTGTTTACAAAGACTGGAAATGTGAATATTAACGGTATGAGAGATATTTAAAAAAAAATACATTGTGTACTTTTTGCAAAAGCATGTCAATAATTTTCAACCAGTGAATGACACTAAACTTACAATGAATGCAGATGATACAATGCTTCTACGTTGGCAAAAATCACAAGAGGAATTGAATAAATTAAAAGTTGCCTATTAGAAACAGTTCAATCATACAATGAAATTCGTCTTAATGTTAAGGTTAACAAAACAAATATAGTAATGTTCTCATACAATCCTCGAGACAAAAATCCATTATAACAAATATACAAAATGAACTTCTACCAAATGTACAGATGATCAAATTCCTGGGAGTAGAGATGGACACTACCTTATCCTGGGAGTGTCACATTGACAGAGTGTGTAATAAACTGAGTTCAGGAATACACTTTGTATTACGAAAATTTTGTAAAATACTAGGAGAAAGGGAACTAAAAGCAATTTATTATGGAATAATATAAGCTCATATTCTGTATGGAATTAATATGTGGTGTGGTACATACAAAAATATAAATCTAGAATATTCACTTTGCTGAAGTAAGCAATTAGAACAATATATAACATGAAAAGAACTGAAACCTGCAGAGAGAGAATTCCAAGAAGGGAATATCTTAATTGTGCATGGGCTACACATATACAATACTATATTTTAATGAGGTCCAATGGAAACACGCTACAAAATGAAGATTCTGAGTACAAGACTCAAAAAAGAAATTCTTACCTTTCAGGAATAACATTTTTCAACACATTGCCAAATGAAATGAAAAATCTAAGCAATTTCAAATTCAAAAAAAACCCTAAAGAAATACTTAATAAACAAAGCATTATATTCTTTACACGAGTCATAAAAAAACATTAACTACATTATCTGACATGTAGAATATTGGGGATTGGATAGAATTAAGAAAAATAATGAAATGTACTATGCTGAATCTACATGTGCAAGTGTATGGATAAATATAAAACTTGGAGTTATATATTAAAAAATTGTATGTATTAAATTGTATATTAACTGTATTGAATGTGACAATGTATGTATTTTTTATACTCAATGTAATTACTTGTATACTAATAGTATAGTTTTAAACACAATTTTGTAAATTAGTAGTATCATATTTTATGAGAAAATGTATTCGTTATGCTAAAATAGTTAAAATTTGTATTAGTCAATAGTTTGTTAAACTCAATTCTTGACATGGTCTAAAATGGCACTTGAACTATTAAAGAACTGAAAATAATAATAATAATAATAATAATAATAATAATTATCATTATTATCATTATTATTATTAATTTAAGGAAAGAAAAAGAAAAAAACAGAAAATTGGGTGAGTAGAATGCTCAAACGTTTTTCTAAAAGAAAACCCTTAAGTGTTTTAAAGGTATAGATAATACTGATGGATTTCTTGGTATTGATAATACTGATTCATTACAAAACTTTTCTAAGTCATCTATAAAGGGTAGTATGGAAATCACATGGTGTCACTTCTAAAATGAAATTGGAATTTTTCTCACCACAATTATATTCTAGTTTCACAGATTGAATACAGATCATTATCTTCTATTATATACATACCCATTTGGTGAGAAGTCAATTCCATAGATAGCTTTCAAGTGACCTTCTATAAACATGATACATCTTCCAGTACGGAGATCCCAGACTCGACCAAATGCATCAAGGCCCCTGTATTTATATATATTGTAATGTCTGGTTTATGCAATTACAAATTACAATAACAATTCTCTCAATTAGATAAAGCAATCTAAAATAGTTATTTTCATTCAATACACAATCGCAACAACTGAACAAATCAGATGGTGAACAAGTACAAAAACTACTTAGTAAATTTAATTTTGCTTTGTCTGCTTTCAGAGTACAGAGAACATTTCAGAAAAATTTCCTTTTCTACTCACCCAGTGGCACAAACTGACCCATCTATCTGATACGAGATACAATAAACAGGTTTGCAATGACCTTCCTGGTGCAAAACTTCTTGACACTGTTCCAAGTCCCAGAGACGCCATGAATTGTCAAAGCAACATGTCCCAAGAAAGCGTCCAGATGGATGGAATGCTAATCGGGACACTCTATGTGGAGCATGACCTTCAACATCTGCAAGGGGTTCCTCACTGGAATATAAAGCAAACCGCAACAATTACCATGCGTAGTAGCTTTAAACATACAAAAGTATGTAACACAATATAATTTCTAAAACAACAATTTGTGGAACAAACAACAGTGTGGAAATTCCATTAATAAAAACAGGTGAAACTACTTTTCAATGTACAGAGTGTATGTTCACAGATAAGCATACTTAATTGTCAGTACAATTTTTGGTGCGCAGTCAGCAGTCAATCACGTATGTCAATAACTTTTTTTAAATATTGATAAAATTTGAATTTGGGGATAAGACTTCAGTATGTAGAAACACGTGCCTGACATTAGCAAAGATGCAAACTCTCACTCTCCTAAAGGAACAAAAGTTTTCTAGATCAAGACAGCAGAGCAGTAGCATTCTGAAATGAACATACCTTTCTAGGTTCCAAAGTTTCACTGTTCCATCTGCTGCACAGGATGCTAATGCGCAAACTGTCGTTTCATCTTCCATTGCTTTAGGGTGAAATACAATTGCACCTACATTGCAATTGTGTCCCCGCAAAGTCTTTAGCAACTCACAGTTTGGCACTGACCACAATTTACATAGTCCACTCCTGAAACATTCCAACATCAAAAAGTGAAAAAATTACTGACATAATGATTACATTGAACCACTACAAAAGGAAAAGCAAAACCTAGAAGCACGTGTGAATGGATAGTAAATGGAAAAAGAATTATTATATGTGACCAAAAAACTTGTAACTTTGGTCTCAATTGTTGTTTCATTCGATAAAAACAATGTTCTAGAGGTAAAAGTAGTGTGGATCAAATTGACTCTCGGGAACTTTGCCTTCATCTTGAGTGGAATTCGTAGACTTCCTACCGCCAAGCCAAAACAACAAAAACCTACAGGGGAAGTGATCCTCTCGCAATCTTTGATAATTTCAATTTTCCAACAACAGAGTTGACAGAGACAAGAGCAAAAGCAACAACCAAGGTTGTAAGTGAATTCCTTTAGATTTACAAAGACAAACTTGATTCAAAAAGTATCTCAATCCACAAGTTTTAGTGATGGTCAATCATCATCACTCTGATTTTTTTTCTTGTAATGGTGATGGTGATATTGCTCCACCACACTTTAGACCCAATGTAGATAAAAATAATCACCCAGTTTTTAATACAAAAATGCAAATTAAAATGAATATTGGGGAGGACAAAACCAACATCAAGAAGCAAAGATTTACCCATCTTGCAGCTATGTAAAATTAAGAGCCATTTAGATAAGCAGATAGTTCCAACAATGTGTAATGAAATTTGTGACCTAGATGAAGATGAGACACAAGAACTACAGAATTATTCTTATTACTAAAACTCAAATACTTTACTGAAAATTAAAACCCACACATAAATCGCAAATCAAAAGACCACATAAACAAAAAATAAAAGTGTGAAATAAATAGGAAAAGTAATGAAGAAACCAACTGCAGGGCCCAAGGGTCATCACCAATGCCTCAATTGTAAAAGTGACAAATAGTAGGCAGAACTACAAATCCATGTCCCCATCTGGTCACAGCTGGAGGTTTAACTATTACTTGAGAATTCCTGTTGTGCAATTGTCAACTACTGTAGCAACCCCATACCTACTACGTATGATTCAAAGGATTAACTGCCGCCACACAGGGATTCAACCTGGTTCTCCTTGAGCAACTGGATGTATATGGATCAAATTGACTCTCGGGAACTTTGCCTTCATCTTGAGTGGAATTCGTAGACTTCCTACCGCCAAGCCAAGGATACAAGGATATCCACATTCAATATCTGGCTGGGGCAGACAATTCTTTGAATAGTCAGAAAATAATTTACAGGAGTATTATTATGAGAAGTTTGATTTTATATATAAAAAAATTATCTTGTCGAAGACTAGGATATCTACAATGCTCAGAAAACCAATGGTGATATTGTAACAGAGTGAAGGAGGATGGCAGAACTATTCACAATAGAGTTTAAAACAGTATATATGATGGAACAAGAGTTGGAGCTTGAAAAACTCCATGAAGACTATGATTTATCAAATGATTCTGATTTCATAGATATTGAGAGAGAATAGTCTTGACATAAACTTAGCAGCTGGTCCAGATGGAATTCCAAAATTCTTACTTAAAAGCTACTTCACTCGTGCTCAAAGCATGGAAGAGAGCAGTCATAACATTCATTTTCACAAAGGGTGGTAAAAAACTAACAAACATCAAGTCCATCACTTTGACCATGGTAGTGGGGAAGGTAACAGAGAGAAATGTCACCTAAAGAGCCTAAAAATTCATTTCAAGAAATATCATCCCTCAGCAACAACACAGCTTTATACTGGAACACTCAACCATGACAAATTTGGTGAATACTTGAGATACTGGCAAGGAGTCAATGAAAGAACAGCCAATGGAAGGTATTCCAGTATTACACAAAGGCTTTTGAGTACGTGACACACAAGCTATTTATATACAAGCTGCAACACCTCAGGTTATAATGAAATATACTTGCATTGATTTCAGAATACCTAGTTGGCAGAATATTTCATGTCCTAGTTGGCAACAAGTTCACCACAGCAAAACCAGTTTCTAGTGGTATTCCTCCAGGAGCAGTGTTGGAAACAACACTATTTATCCTGCTTGAGGAGTGGCTGTGGCAAATTGGAACCGTTTTTCAGTCAAAGCTATTATTGTTGCTATCCCACAAACAATTTCAGGACGACTTGAAAGCAACAGAAATAAGGTCAAATGGTTGGTCAGAAATTTGGTTAAATGGTTGTTACCATTAGAAGGTGCTAAATGGAAATCACATTGTCAAGCTAACTGAGACTTAGGATGATCTGGATGTGATTATAGTTCAGAATCTTACATGAGAAAAGCACATTTCAGACTTCATTAGAATGGCCAGCTTTAGTCTTTAGAACACGCAATTATTGAGGTTGTATGATATGTGCGGGACCTATTATAGAGTACAGAAGATCTGGTCCCCTTGATACAAAAAGATACTTTAAGCTCTTTAAGAAGAAAAAATAATAAACCTAACAACAATAGAATAATAAAAAAATTATACTATAACAAGAATACATGGAGATACTCATGCTGAAAACACTGGAACAGAGAAAAGAACAGAGTGACCTTCTATAGGTGGGTGATCTGGGCTGTCCAGGTGACGCCGCGTCGAAGGCTCAGTTGCTGACGTTTCGACCATCCTGTCGTGGTCTTCCTCAGGGCTGGTACCCGGCCAGCCCAGATCACCCACATGACTCTGGTCGCGGAAGCCTACGACTTCACCTTCTATAGGTGTTCAAAATAATAAACGGAAGATCTGAAGAACCCTGTAATTGAAGTACTTGATGAATAACTGCGAGGTCATTTGAAAAGACCATATAAATGGAAAACACGCCTCAACAATTTTATTCACTTCTTGTCTAACAGAATTATAAACTAATGGGGCTAAAATAACATGTACTTTCTCGAAAAGTACTCCAATTCTCGAAAAATTATACATGACCTTATTTTAAAATTTATCTTTAAGGAACACATTTCATTAAGGGGAAAAATCACTACCTTCATAATTCTATTGTAGGAAGACTGAAAAATTTTTGAATATTTGCAATTTTCAAAAAGTCAGAGTTTTTAACAAATATGAGACCTGCACCATTCTCTTAAACTTCACACTATCCAACAATAAAATTTAATCAAAAACAATAGAGCCATTTTTTTGAAAATTTTGAAAATGTCCCACAGACTTCATGTAGAGTACCCCCCAAAATTAAAATATCAATTTCAAATTCAAGTGTCCGCGGCTTCAGCCACATCAATTGGGGAATAATAATTTCAGAGAAAATGGTCTGAATGGTTTAGCTGCTAGAGTTGTTCTATAACTGATGTTCACTGATAAACATTTTGCCATCATTCAATTTTTCATTATCAAGGGTTCACAAAACATGGATACTGCTAGATTTTTTTCTAAATGTAGCAATTGGATTTATTTACGTTACCAGGGACCTATAATAACAGTTTTTCTGTTGAAAATTCGCTGTTTTCTCTTTGCAACATTATGTAAGTCTCTCTCTACTGCATAAGCGGGAGCAAGAAAATAAAAAGTAGAACAGTTTATCCCCTTCATGGTTGAACACAAATTCAGTTGCATTCTTTGGGAGATACATGAAAACTTAGTGACAATATGGGTGCTATACAAAAATTAAAAATTAACATACTGAAGATAAATGAGTATAGAACTATACAAATTCAATTTTGCGTAATATCAGCATTGCTCTATTCGTAATATGTATATAAACAAACAAAATAGAATTTCGCAGCCTAAAAGCTGCACCACAACAAGAAATTAATTTGGTAAGAAAATATTTACTTGCCTCATCCAATACAAACAATAGAAATAGAAATCATCTCCCCCTCCCCCCAAGAGATAATAAATTGATGTCTATCTCACCCTTCCCTAGAAAACAGTCTATTAATGCAATGGCATTTGTCATGACCTGCCCAATATAATCACACTCTCATATTGTCAAGTGCCTATCTCACTATAATCTCCTTAATTGCTACGTTGTTCGTCTTTATAAACAGGGATACTAAAAATGGATATCAATGACATTAGAACATGTATTAATGGATGATTAGGTGCTTTAATATTGATTGTCAAAAATGAGCTAATACATCCTTGTCAAACTGGTGAAATTCTTTAGCAGCATACAGTTGTTTCACAAAAAGGGATGACATGTGTCCCGTTCCCGAAGAAGCTGATTTTTCAAAAAAAGATGTGCAAATGCATCATGCCTGGTTAAGAGGCTTAATCAAGCTCATCAATTAACTTCTGAATTTCAATTTAACCAATTCCAGTTTGAATTCTTTAACATTATCTTCACTCTGTCATTAAAGCATTTAATGAATATCAAACATTCTTTTCTTTGAAAAAATATGATTACAAATATTTATCATTAACTTCATAAAACAAACCGAGATTAAAAAATGTCAATTACCAAGACGCTGTAGCCAACATTTTGGAGTCAGGGCTGAATTGACAATAAGAGATAGGTCTAGTATCACCTATCTGACTGCAATAAATGGAAAGAGCTTGCAATTTCTTCTGTAATTCTTGCCTCCTCGCTGTGCGAGTGGCATCAGCCACCTCCTTCTCTTTCCTTGCCTGTTCCAACCTTGCTTTTGCACGAGGCAATGAATACTCTGAAAATAAAATACACAATTTAAACATGTTAGGAACAGAAAGAAAAGAATCACAAGCAGTGTCAACTGACCTAACATCTGTAAAGCACAGTAAAACCTTCATAAACAGCCATCCTAAATAAGCAGTCACCAGAGGCGTGTGTGAGTGTGTGTGTGTGAGTGTGTGTGAGCGTGTGCGAGTGTGAGAGTGAGAGAGTGAGTGAGCGAGTGTGTGTGTGTGTGAGCGTGTGTGAGTGTGAGAGTGTGAGAGTGAGAGAGTGAGAGAGCGAGCGAGCGTGCGTGCATGTGTGTGTGTGTGTGTGTGTGTGCGCGCGCGCACGCGCGTGTGTGTGTGTAATCAATTGATTTTACGATGAGCATAAATATTCCCTCTTGTCTTTTTTTAAACAGACCACTGAACCTGCCCCCAGGAAAATTTTGTAAATTGGCCTTATGCAGTTGTCTCTAGCAAGTTTGATCAACAGATATTTTATATAAATGCCTTTTTAAGTAGGAATCCCATATTTTTAAAACAAAAAACTGGGTCACAACACACAATTATGATGGGAGGGTTTCATGAACAAAACTTAGATTTAGAATACTTTATGAATGTACAATAATTTCCTCCTTTTGGTGTGTATAAAAAAAATGCATTATGTTATAAATGAACTGACAATTATAAAATATTGAATAATTAAAAAACCTCAAACATTTAAATACCACAAATGGGAACGGCACCTTTAAATTTTCATAAAAACTAAGGAAGACAAAAAGCATGGACTGAAGGCACAACAGAAGAAATTATATTTTTTATGTCAAGAGGAACAATAATCTCATATCTAAAGTATATGCCCAATACCAAACACAGAGACTAGCCCAGAAATCAACATACTTGCTATCCACATCCGGGATATTTTAAGAGCTTCTGGCCCTTCGTGGTACCAAGTGGTCTCTTGATCCTTCTCTTGCTGCATTCGCTCTTCTTCTTCCTCCTGTTTCTTTTTAATAGCATCTTCACCTAACCTAAACAGAATAATCCATATTACTAATTTCCTATGTGGAGAGAAACTGAAAGAAAACTATGCAGCCTCCAGTGATGTGAGAGCCATATTTTTTTATATTCATATCTACAGAGATTTTGTACAATATGTTGCAGCTGCAAGACCACAATTCTCACACATTTAACAGCAACATTTTTGCTGTTACATGCTACAAATATTACATAGAGATGCATGCTTATAGAGAGCAATAAGAATTAACTTTGCATAATCAGGGGGACTTCTATATTCCTCATAAACTGGACAGATGAGGTAACTCATGGGGAATGGACACAAGCCATTGTAAAAGAGTTGGTTTGGGAAAACGAGCTCACCCAGGTTGTCCCGGGAAGGGACACTGCTGGACGCGATTCTAACCTGACCGGAGGACTTGCTCATTAACTGTGAAGTGGTACAGAGGATTAGTGACCATTTCATGGTACTTTTAGAAATAGCACAAATAGCAATTTCTCATGTCTAAGACTCTAAACCTACAAAGGTCTATCACTGTTATACGGTAAATGCGTAGGGTTTACAGAAATAGCTGAGAGCAAATGACTCGAACTGGAGTAGCAGGCGAAACAGCGTAGAGGAAATCTGCAGGAACTATAAAAAAAAAATTGTGATTGAGGGAAGAGAGCATTTCATACCAGAAAAATATCTTAAAAGAAAACCATATCCTGAGAACTATAATGAGAAGATACGAAAACAGAAATCAAAAGTTTGAAGAGCTTACGGAAAGCACAGGAAAAATACAGAAAATAGGAAAAAATTCAAGTCTCTCTGGGGTGCTTCTCCCAATGAAACTGGGTGCACAGGAAATTTTCTACAATGTAATTATCCGAGTGTAAGCAGAGGGCAAATCAGTTTTTCAAATACGTCAAACAATGAAAGCAAAATAGGGAGGACAATCCTGTATATATGCAAATAAAAACAAAATTACAGAGTGTGTTTTGTAACAGACAGTCAAGGCAGATAGAGACAGAAGTTTTGCCAAAAAACACCTTTGTGGTATCAAGGACAAACACCATGTGGATTCTGATTACAAAACTTGTTAGAGGAAATCATTTTCTACATATAGAATCAGGAAAAATTTACTCTTTCGGTATCAAGAACCCCCAAAACGGGTTTTTCTGTCAAAAAATCAGCACAACCGCACGACAATACTTTCTCTACACTACATAATACTATCCAAGAAAGTAAAAATTAAATGAAATTGTGAACGGTTAAATTTGACAAAATATGTGAATTATAACTTTGACACCGTTTTTTAATAGTTTTGGTTTCTTTATCAATAAAACCTTCAAATTTAGATAATGCTTACCCCTTCACAAATCAAGCTCTGAATTTGAAAAACTGACAAATTGAAAAATTTGAATTATCAGTAGTGTTTGGTTTATTGAAAATTAAGATATATAAACAAGATTTTTCTGATTAAAGTAACAGTAATTCATAAGGGACAAAGATATATTGGCTGTTTATTTACATTTTTATTTTGTAATGATGTTTATTCACTCCCCTCACCCCACCCATCTGGCGGTCCTCTTGACAACTGACCGAGGTGAGACGTGACAGACTACGAAATTAATGGAGCTCCAAAAAGCGTGAAGCACTCAATTGTCCCCAAGGGGTTTGAAGATGCATTTAAGTCGATGCAACATGTGCGATTTCTTGCATATTTATATGTAGGTAACGCAGGTTGCCAATGACGTGGTGGCTGAGATTTGGAGGTGGCTATCATTCTTGGGGCTCCAAATGGCTGAGAATAAGACAGAGGCTGTCTTGGTCACAAGCAGAAAGGTGAAATAGGGTATTACTCTCAATGTAGGGGGAAGTAAAATAGCCTCCAAGCAGTCTCTAAGACACTCAGGAGTCCAGATTGACACGAGACTATACTTCTACAAGCACTTGCATATAGTTTGCGAGAAAGCATCTCACATGGCCTCGGCCTTGGAGACGGATTTTATCATCTACCGGTAGATGGACATTTCGTCTTATTTCTCACATAACAAAGTGAGCCCAAAGGAAACATGAAGATGTAGATCATTATTTCATTCAGTTGTAAACGGGAGAGGGGTGCTACCATGCAAAACAACTCTGTTTCCGGTTGATGATGACTCCTCATGCCCAACCTGTGAACCATTGGTTGAAGATGTGGAGGATATTGTTTTTTCATTGTTCATGCTTCGTCAAGGAGAGGGAAGAACTCGGACTCCTCCAGATAGTGATTCCTGATACCATTGTCACTAGGCTGCTGGTGTCCGAAAACAACTACACTGAAGTAGCCACGTATGCCGCAGAAGTTTCCAAGAAGTTTTGGTTAAAGAAGTCCCTACAAAGAAGTATCCATGAATATCCCATGACTTCAGTCGACAAAGCAATAAGCCGATCTGCCTTCCTGTGATGCAATGCCTGATGGCGGTCCTGCGAGAAGGGAATCAGGTGGAACGGGAAGGGCTTTTAGTGGGTAAGCACAGACTAGCTGTGAATCCTACATGCTATAACTATAACGCCAAAACTATAACTAGAGAATAGATGGATTGATCAGGAAGTTGATTCCTGAGCTGAAAATAATTTTTAAAATGGGCGAGAAATTGGTTGACAGCCTGAGGTTAAAATTACAAGCTAAGCTGAATGTTCCAGTAACTCTTTTGAATATAGTATCATCCACAGAAAATGTTTCTCTTTAAAGCAATAATAATTATAGAATATGAAAAGAAACAAATTACTAGTGTTAAACAACTAAAATTTTATGTAAAATTACAAAAGAATTGGAAATTTCAAACCTTGCCAATAAATCTCTCAGGCGACTTCGTCTGTCAGCAGGACCTTCACCAAAAAGACATATTGGCTCTCCCAGTTGCCTTAAATTACGTTTCACTTCTTCATCGTCAGTTGAAACGTTAATTTGACGAGCTCGTTTACGACGTTCAAACTCTTCCAACAGAGCCTGTCTATCTCGATTCATTTCCTCCTCCAGTTCCATGTACTCTGAAAGCACATGAGTGTACTGCTATTTGTATATTTCTTCAATAAAACTTCTGTTTATAATTGACAAGTACAATACGAGAGAAGAGATTAATAGTATTTGAATTTTTCATAACAAACATTTTGTTACATTAGTGGTCAACTGTCAATGTCCTTGAAAAAGAACTCAGTCCATTAAACTCTAGCACATGTTTCTCCACAAAGTATAAAAAAAAGAAAAAGTTGAATGCATTTGCTTGAATGAATTTGTTGACAGTAATTATCATTCACTTTATGTATTCATTCATTCAATATGTGATGTAAGTATTAAGGAAGTGAAAGAAAATTTTGCAATTGTGTAACTGCAAATTTGTATTTTCACATTTTTACTGACTGTGTTTAAGCTAGGGAAATGAAAATACTGTCATCAGTATTTAGTACAGTATTTTTTTCCTGCACAAGGTTAATTACTATCCTTGCTGTGCAAGGGTATCATCATACTCGAACAATACTAAACTCTAATAATACTTGAATAAATCCAAATTAATGAAATCAACATCTCAAAGAATTAATGTCAATTAAGAAATTGGATGGGAAATGTTTTGTTTTTGGGAAACAACTGTAATATTTATAAATTGAAGTTGTGATACTGCTTAATCACGTTAAAGTACAATAAACTGAATTTTATGGAATAGCCAGTAAAAAAAATCACCATCTGATATATTAACATGGCCTGTTTCTGGTGCAGGCACAGTAACAGGAGGAGGAGGTTCTCCTTCGCCATCACTGTCGGCACTAATAACTGTGGATGTTGGGGCAGTTGGTGGCAATGCTGACAAACGAAGACGTTCTTGTTCTTCCAATGATCCATAGTGCAAAGTCTTTTGTTTCTTCACATATAAAATATCTTCATCATCGGACATTGTTGTTTCTTTACCTACATGAAGATGTAAAATAAAAAGTCAGCAAACAATTATTTGTACATAAATTGTTTAAATGTATGGAACGAAATAAACATAACCTTCCTCAACACAACAACACAGAAACAAAACGATAAAGAATTAAAGTTGAAGTAATAAATAATATGCTTTCGGTACGCAGCAGATAAAAGTTTAACTTAACCTATAAACTAAGAGATCCACTTGATATTTTTTTTTCAATCTAATACTCAATCTTCCAGAAATTATTTGTCAAAAAATTATGAGTAACACGATATTTGAGTACAAACACCACAAAAATCGCTTTAAAAAACAGAACTTTTACGCTCACAATATTAGGTGCTCTTTGATATTTTGTCTCCCTTCTCAGCTGTTCTCAGCGTCTGTAGCAAAACCCATTGTCGGTAACATTCTAGATTTGCACATTTAAAAGTTGTTTCTACAAATGCGATTGTATCACGTTCTACTTAGCATTTATTTTTTAAAATGTAACTATTTTGTAATTTCATGAATTTGAATGTTTTTAGCATGGTTCACATCGAGATATTAATTTCTAGACTATTACACAACTTGAACGCGCTTTTGTGAGGAAATGTGTGAATTGGCTAGCTTGTCATAACAATTTATGCGGTATTTTTCAAAACCCGGCATTATACATAGGGTTATTGCATTTAGTAATTTCTTAGCAAATAATGTGAAATGACAAATCTTACATTGCAAAGGCTACGAGTACCGAAAATCGTGAGAAACAAAAAAGAATTTGACCACAATAATACTGTCAAATAATGTAGTTTTAGAATGTTAATTTTGGGGTCGTCCATAAATTACTTAAGGCTAAAGAGGGGGAGGGGGGATTGAGGCAGCGTGACGCTGCGTTACATAGGGGTAGGGGGTATTAGTTAAGTGTTAAGTAACATTAATATTTATTGTTTTACATTTTTCAACATTTACTTAAATAATTCCTTTTTTGAGTCCTGCACTAAAACATTAAAATATTAACTAATTAATTTGTTTTAAAAACAAAGAATTAGTTGTAAATTGTTACAATAAATGGAAATATTTTTTCAACATTTTTATGTAGTATATTCTAGAATCCATTGACATTGGCAATGTAGACTCTCGCTCGTGTATCATCCACGACGGCATGTGCGTAGCTTGTGATCAACCATTTCTCGCCCAAGCATACTTCCTTCATTCACAACTTGCCCCAAATCGTGTTAGGTACAGCCAGCATCGCCACTAATTTCTACTTTAATTATTGTTAATTGATTTAAAATACAATACAAGTAAAGTAATTCGTTTTTACTGTGCTATAATTTATTTTCACTTCTTGTATTTACAGGCGGGGGGGGGGTGTTGTCGCAAACGTTACGTTATTATTTAGGGGGGGATCAAACGCGGATTACGGGTGCGTTACAAGGGGGAGAGGGAGTATTAAAAATACTCCAAATTTGCGTTACGTAATTTCTGGACAGCCCCTTTTAGCAACTTTTTATAATTTTCGAAATTACAGAGTGTTCCCCACAAATGTGACTAGAACTACGATTTTTCACCGTCCTCTGATATATAAGTGGAGAAAATGTAAAGAAAAAAGTTGGGCTGTTTTTGTGAAAATAATTGCTCAAAAATTGTCTATATTTATGCAAAATTACATGAGAGCCAGTCGTATTCTTGAAAAATTCTACGTGACATTATTTCAGCTACAGATTTTATTAAGAAAAATATATATATCTTAAATATTGTAGTTTTAGGAAGCTCCGAAAATGTTTTAACTTTTGCGATTTTCAAAAGATCAGGGGCTTTTTACGAAAACTAGAATGACGTTATTTTCTCGCTTTTACTTTGTAGAAAGAGAACGTATTCTAATAGTGCGCCGGTAAACGGAGTATTTTCGATAGAAAAGCTTATTTCCGGGACCTGGTACCGTAAAGAGGATAAATTTTGTTCTTTAATGTAGTAAATTACTTCCACCATCACATTGAGTAGTTAGAAGCCGTGTTTTGTAGATTTCTGATACCAAAAAAATCGATTAAGGGCAAAATTTCGTCTGTGCGTCCGCCCGACCGTGGTCAACGAAATACGCCTAAGCAGTTCAGATTTTCTTCAAAATCGGTATTCGCCAATCGATCTGAAAGAACTCGAGGCACTGAGAGTTTGAAACGGATGTTATGATTTTGCGGGTATTTTACATAAAGCCTCAACATTTTCAATATTTTCTCAAGAATGAAATCTTTGGACACCGTATAGCAGTGCTGGATACGGTCGCGATCATGCGACGACCGAGAAAGATTGCCAATGTTCGGAAATCGCGAGAAGATATGACCTGTTTTAGCTCTAGTTTTACGACAGTTATGTTTCACTGTTTAGAGCAACGGCAATCGTAGTGACACACGAGTGCGCAAAAACCTTCGAACACGTTTTCACTTTTTATTCTTAATTATGACAATATATGTAACTAGTGGTGTTACAAACAGCACATACTTTCTCGCCTTTAGTAATAGTTATGGAATACCTTTTATACTGGTTATGTAATTCAAGTTTTTTAAAAAATGATAAAAATGAATGAATGTTTAATTATTTGAAAAGTTAGCTTTTCTTTTTCCTTTACATGAAGCCCTTGGAACATTTTTAAAAACACAAAAATAGTTCCATCGTTTTTTATTAAATTTTATTGTTTGATTACATGAAGGACAGTTATGCGAATGCAGATCTCATTTTCGTTCAAAACCCTGATTTTTCGAAGGTGCAAATATTCAAAACGTTTCTACATTCTAATTTCTATCCAGCAAAATTTATATTTGTATTATATTAATCAAATTTAAGCTTTGCTCAAAATCTAGTTAATATCAAAGGTAAAATTTTCTAGCAGTGATGGTCTTTCCATCGCTCCCAGTACACAGAGAGGTGTACGAACTCTTGTAAAGAAATTTGTCGCTCAATTTGAATAAAGCGCGCTACGTGTACGGTGTTGCCGACATGCGCGTATCCGTCCCGATCCTCTAAAAAGCCCGCGAACGTTTGTCTTCGGGATAATGGCTTATTTTGCGTAGTTTTTACGTTTACAACTTGTCAAAATTTAAGAATTAATTCCAGAAAGTACATTGTACTCAAAATAGGTATATATATAACAATTTTGGATTATATATTTTTATTACAACAATATATTGTCAATTACAGTAAATTAGTAAATGGCAGTCATACAAATTTTTGAACAATAGATATTGTAATGTATTGTAACAAATACATAAACATTTTCAAGTATAAAATGACGTCAAAAGTACGTCGGAATTTCCTTAAAATCGGAATTTCCTTAAAACGGAATTTCCTTAAAGTCTACTTATTTTTAAACAAATAATCAGACAATAAATCCCTAGATGGCGAATATATAGAAGCTGCGAAGGAAAACAATCAAGTGGCGTGGATGAACATGAATTATTTAAAGTACATATTTCATATACAAGTATTTAAATACTGCCCAATCCTACACATTACAAATCGTACAACAGATGGTGCAAAACCCAAATAGTTTCAAGTAAATATCACTATAAATTTGACAATTATAACTGATTTTCATGCAAGTAAATCATGTCCCAACAATGAGACGCCATTCACAAAAATGAGCTCCCAAGTCATTGTTGTCGAGTCTTTGTAGCATTCCAATGTTATTCCCTGTAAGCTACCAGTATTTCAAATAGGTTTTAAATAATTTCTGATAGATTAATGTGTAAATGTATAACAAAAGTAAAATGTAAGAAACGAACAAAGGCGAATGAAATATATAAATTCTAACAGAAGAAGCATCCACATGTGGGAAATACGACAACGATGCGCAGCAAATTGAAATCGGTCATTATTTTTGTCTCTAAATTAGCACAAAAAAACTTACATTTTCAAAAAAATTGTACATGACCTTACTTGAAATTCTATTGTCGATAAACACATCCTCCCCTGTCAACAACGCTTTGCTCCAACCTAGATATACAGTTTCTAGGTTGTGTTGCTAGCACTCCACAGTTGTATGATAACTTAAACTGGATAATATTATAATTTTATGAATGATGGCCTAAATAACACTGCTTATTTGTCTCCGGTATGAAGGAATGAAGGAACATTATACCGTCTGCAGACCGTCAATTGTATGTTCTCGTATATCGATACATTGAGAATACTAATTGTAGAATTAAGTAAAGTAAAAGTGCGAGAAAGAAAAAATATTAATATTCGCATTTTCAATAGGAAGTTATAATTAAAATTAAATTAATTATTGTTCGTATCACACATTCAATTTTTCTCATAGCCCGTAATTGGTGTGAAAACTGTACACATTTCATTAAATTCAACCACAAATAAGTAAAAAACTACGCGTTTAAAAAAAATGTACCTGACCTTTTAAAGAACTAATTTTATAAACAGACTTTGAAGCAAAAATCTCTATCTTCAATATTGTAGTTTTGAATGTATTTTGCAATTTTCGAAAAAATGAGATGTCCGTCCGTTTGTCCGTCCGTGAACACCACTAGCTCCTAAACCATGCGTAGGATTTTTTCCAAATTGAAGAAACCCCTGTCTATTTGGCTCAAGTTAAAGCTTTTAGAAATCTGAAAAACTTACCTTAAAATTTGGGGGTACTTTAGCTAAAGCCCCTGGAACATTTTCAAAATTTTCTCATACAAATGTTTCTTTAAATTTCTTGTAAGAGTAGAGGAAAATACACTTATAAGGGTGGCATAGGTCCGATTTTCAGGTTTAACTATGAATTTTCAAATATTTGAATTTTTCAGCGTCCTTCTATAACAACAAAATTGAAAATTGAAATTTTCCCTTTAAATGAATTTTTTTTCGTAATTGGTCCTTTCGTTACCGTCATGTACATTTCTTGAAAATTTTAATAATTTTCGCGTAATAATGTGAGCAATATGTGCAATTTTTGAAAAAAAAATACAAAATCAAGAAATTCTCAAAAACGATTCTATTTTTTTTAACTTTTGGTGGTGATATG